GTGGGCAGGCGCGCGCCCGCGGCCACGCTCGCCGCGGCCAGCACGGAGCCGACCACGGAGAAGGGGATCATGGACACGCCCAGCCGCGCCTGCGTCAGGCGCGCCATCTCGACCAGCTGCACCGCCATGGCGCCCGACACGAAAAAGTAGTAGGCCGACAGCGCGGCGGTGCGCACCCAGCGCCGCTGCACCCCGGGTCGCGGCCGGCCGCGGTGCGAGGACGCGGGGAGGGCCAGGGCGAGGACGAGAATTGTGGCCATGAACGCCCAGGCCGGTAGCGGTACCAGGTACGTGTCGAAAAAGCACTGCGATGGCAGTGGGTTCGATATGGTGGATACTGCTCTCTGCAAAAAGGTGTCCGATTTAGGTTTTTGTCAGCCTAGACCCCGCCAAAGCCTGCTGTAGTGCTGTTGTTTTTTTTTGTCTTGGGGGGATGGGGCTCGCGTACTATTCCCTCTGGCCTGTTAATGCATAGCTCAATCATTTTCGCTATCGGCGGGCGGCCCTTCTGTTCCGGGCGGGCGTGGGTGTGGATGTTGTTGCGCTTTTGGCCTTGGCGCCTTCGCTTGCTCGCGAGGTGTGTCGAGTTCGTGCAATGCTCTCCCAAAATAAAACTTTGCCAAACGCAAACCACCCCGAGGTTGCAAGGACGTCGCCAGGCTGGCCATCACGCCTTATTATCTCTTTCCGCCGACCGCAGCGCCCGCGGGGGGGGGGGTAGTCACTGAAACCCGAGCGGTCGGAATCATCTGCCTGATGCGGTGGCGTTTCAGATATGGTTATGCCGGCACATAGCTTCCACGCGTGTTTAACTGCCGGCTTCCATCACTCCCGCGCACGCATGGCAGCTGTAACATAACACGCCAGCAGGAAACGGAAAAGCAATTTGTTTGTCAAGGAGCTGTGATGGGGCGCGCTCTCGGATCGCCTGCTCTCAGCCCAGTCAGCCGACATGGCTCGCGAGCCTTGCAGCTGCCAGAGTTGCACTTTGCTGACGCCCTCGCCCGCTGCCTGTTCTACAAGCCAACTCCACTGAGATATAGAGAGCAAGAGTTCGGATGTCCTCGGCACGGGCGATGGGGTCAAGATCGACCGCCGCCTTTCGAATTAAGCTTAAAGAGCTTGGGCGCCGTCCGGGAGCATCCCCACCAGGACCACGACTCGGTCCTTGGCGTCGAATAAATTTCGAACGAGCGGTTCAAGGAGGGATGAATGCGATGCGTCTCAAAACTCCCTGGTGCCCGAAACACACTTCGTTCGCAGCAACGTGCCCTTCTCCATTGGGGAACACGCCCGCCTCCCTAGGTTATTAAACCCCTTGCCCAGCCAAGCCTGTCTGCCCATCTCTGGCTGGCGTCGAAACAAAAGGAACCTTCTGCCGGGCCCGGGCTAGCCATCATGCGTTACCTCCGATGTAACGGGCGCTAGAATCGTCCGGGGCCTCAATCTGTATCAGGCTCTGTGAAACAACGGCCCCGGGTGGCGCATAGCCGCCAAGGCTGGTGACGCCAGCCGCCAGGGACCGCCAAAAGTCGCACGCCGACTTGGGCTGCTCCCCGTCGGATATGGTGCCGAACCCCCAGTCCCCGACGTTGAGGACCCCTCCGACCTGCTCCCCCCCGACGTCGGGCTGGTCCCACTGGACCGTTGGCGGCAGGTTGAGGAGGCGCCGCCGCCTGTTGGGGTCCCCCGTCGTGACGTACGACGTGAAGTAGCTCTGCATCCCGCTGCTGACGCCGCCAATGACGGCGGCTATCAGGGGCGAGAAGAGCGACCCGAGCCGCCCCAGCAGCGTGTCGGAGCTGAACTTTGGGTTGTAAAAGGTCGGGATCAGGTCCGTGCTGTGCCAGCCGGGCGTCCCCGAGTACTGCATGTTCCACACCGGGCGGCCCGCGCCGCCGACGGCCTCGGTGAAGTGCCGGGCGTGGCACGTGAAGCAGCTGTCGCGCAGGAACGCCTGCACCCTGGCGCTCTGCGTCGCGTACGCCGACGACGGGTAGCGGCCCCGGATGAGCTTCCCGGCGCCGGCGACGATGGAGTGGTTGGAGAATGTCGCCGTCAGGAAGGAGTCGAACTTTTGGTCCGAGTCCACCGCGCCGCTGACGAAGAGGGACGACTCGTCCGAGCAGTGCGAGACGACGGCCGAGTCGAGCTTGAAGAAGTTTCCCGTGGCGAGCTCCAGGGCCGGGAGCTGCCGGACAAAGCTCCCGTCTACCGTGGGCCCGACGGCGAAAGACCCCGGCGTCACCTGGCCGTTGAGGGCCTTGTTGGCGCCCGCGAGGGCCTGCGGACTGGCTTTCCGTAGGCAGGAGACCCCTTGCCCCTTGCAGCCGGCGAGGGAGGCGAACTGGTCGAACCTCTCCTGCACCGTCCCTGCCCGATCCCACATCCACTGGTACGCCGGCGATTGGAGGATGGCTTTGGAAAATAGGGGGTCGAGCTTCCCGCCCTGTCCGACCAGGTGGTGGATGATGGAGCCCGCACCGGCCGACTGTCCCATGGCGGTGATGGCGCCGCCGTCGCCTCCCACGAGGTGAATATGGTCCTTAACCCACCGGAACGCCGCCCGCTGGTCCCACAGGCCGGCGTTGGGGAGCCCCTCCTTCTCCATGGTGGTGCCGGCCAAGAACCCGAACGCGCCGAGTCTGTAGTTCATGGCGACGAATATCATCTTGTTCCCCGAGTTCAGGATCATGCCGCTCCCGTCGTACATGGGGAGGTCCGGCTGGAACGCGTCCTTGCTGCCAAAGACGTATGCGCCGCCGTAGATCCAGACCGCGACCGGGAGCTTCAGGGACGGGTCCCTCAGGGCCGACCCGGGCACGTAAACGTCCAGGAACAGGCAGTCCTCCTGGCCGCCCTCGAAGAGCGGCACAGGGATGCCTCCTAGGCTGATGGCAGTGTTGCTCCCCTGTCAGCCCCCCGGATTGTCTTCATGGTTACGATCAGGACGGGAACCCACAATTGATTGATGGCACCCCCGATCGGGGCATTGTTTCCAGGACCGACAAGGTTGAGTCCGGTGACGGCAGACTGCACGCACTTGGGCCCGTAGCTGCCATCCTGGAGTGTTGACTCGTTGAGGGGCGGAGCGGGTTTTGCCCAGCGCAGATCTCCCACAGGAGGGGCTGCATAACGGATGTTCTTGAAGGTGTATCTGTATACAAACGGAAAGTTATCATTAGCTGATAGTCCTGGATAGCTTTGGCGGCATCAAGATTGACCAGCACTTGCATATCCGAAGACGAGCTGTAGCTCGCCGCTTTGTATGAGGCATAAGGAAGATTCAGTATGGGAAGCCCATCTTGTTTGTTAGAGAACTCAACCCCAAAAGGGATGGGCGATGCAAAGAGAGGCCAAAAGTGGAGGCACACGGCCAAAAGCCAGAATGTGAACATCGTAGAAAGGGACGGAAGTGCGAGAGGGTCTTGGACGGAACAGAACACCTCGGCTGCTCGGTATCACAACGTCTGCCAGCATATGGAAGCAAGCTCAGCATATGCTAGTGAGCGAAGGTGGGAAATGAATGATATATCACTGGCACTCAACGTCTGCCGTCTTGTCAGGGAATAGCCTGGTCAACACACACGAGGCCTCGCGACCGCAAGACTGACGCAGCCTACTAAGCCTCCCTGAGCAACCAGGCAGGCCCCTCTCGTCAAACTGGGTCGTCCACCGAGAATCCGTCGCCGTCTTTCCCGCGCTCACAACACATCACATGTGAACGTGTCCCGCAAGAGCGGAAATCAAGGGTTGCCAGCGCCCCTGAAATCTCCGGCTGGCATAAGACGGTCGAGGTATAATCGGCAGCATTGGCAAATAAGACGAGCAGCCCGGTGATCCTCGGCGGCGCGTGCTCGGGGCGGCTTGGGCCCGGCTCACCCATCTCCCATCTAATAATACCATGGCCTAGAGGGAGGAGGGTCGGCTCTGACCGAAAAAGGAAATGAGGCCCGTCGACACTAGCCCGGGCCACCCAGCTCCTGCCCCATTGTGGTGGTGTATACTGCGAAATGCATATCTCGTGACGCCGGGGCGCCGTCGACTATGCAACTTGGAAAAAAGTGACGGCGAAGACGGCCAAGGGCGAATCAGGGGCTCGAGAGGGCTGATATCGGAGTAGCCCCGCGCTCCGGCAGTCGACGGCGCAAGCGCGGGATGCTAGGCCACATGATGGGCTTGGCCCCGCCTTGAAACGAAACCCCGGGACCAATCAGAGGCCCCAGGCGTCGTCCGCTGTATCCGTCCATCGTCTAAGCGGTTATTTGCCCAACGGTTCCTGAGCTTGCCTCGGGCCTTTTGTTCCTGGCGTCATCGGGCCGGGGGTTTTTGAATTTGAGCCGTCGTCTGTGTTCTTGTTCGCTGTTTATGCAGTGGAATTTACCGGATTTCAAACCATAAATGTTTTGGCCGGCCGAGTGGGGTCGAGGGGGGCTCAGGGCTTCTCTTTGATCTTTTAGTGAGCTTGCACAAAGCTTTTTGGTGCATCTGCAGTTCCATAAAAGTGGTATTTGTCAAAGACCAGAATCCGTAAGATCCAATGCCGAGTCGGTGACGCAATCACTAGCGAGGGGCGGGATCCCAAATCGGGGCCAGGGGGTGGGGGAAGTTACAGTCGCGGGGGCGATGGCGTAAGCTTCGCACCTGCAGGTGGATTTGGAAGGCACTGAATGATTCCAAACAGAAACGCACATGCTCCGCCTCATCATCAGCCTCAGCTCCCAGCCTCAGACTTCAATCAACCAAATTCAACGACGATTTGTCATTCCTGTAAACAAGAATCGACAGTGCCCGACTTTGGCAACAGTACTAAAGTTCGCTTGAGCCTCGTAACAACCACCTCGAACTCGAACTATCACTACCCCTTTTTCTGTCCATGCGCTTCTCTCGACTCTCCTCCTGGTTCAACGTTCTACAGGCGGCCTCTCACCTCGCCAGGGCCCGTGCATACCAACACCCTCCCCGCTTCACGTCGTCAATCCAACCGCCGCCGCTCAGGGCTTCCATGCCGTCAATTCCCTTCCTAGGTAGCTTTTTCAGTTCCACGCCCTCGTCCAGCAACATGGCTTTCCCGGATAAGAGGTCCGACGAGGAATGGAGGGCCGTCTTGTCTCCAGGTTCGTGTGCCACCGCCACCACCTGCTCGAGAAGCACAAAACTGACACGACGCCCGGACAGAGCAATTCCGCATCCTCCGGGAGAAGGGGACGGAGCGGCCGGGCACCGGGGCTTACGACAAGCACCACCCGGACAAGGGCGTCTACGCCTGCGCCGGCTGCAGCGCCCCGCTCTACAAGGCCGACCACAAGTTCAAGTCGGGCTGCGGCTGGCCCGCTTATTTCGACAGCCTCCCGGGCGCCGTGACCCGCCACGAGGACCGCTCGCTCGGCATGACGCGCACCGAGATCGTCTGCTCCAACTGCGGCGGCCACCTCGGTCACGTCTTCAAGGGCGAGGGCTACTCCACCCCGACCGACGAAAGGCACTGCGTCAACAGCGTCAGTCTCAAGTTCTCCGAGGATGACGCGCCTGTCGGCCAGCCAGACGAGGCTGCCGCAGGGGCGAGCAAGGTCTGAGCGGCACAGAATTTGTTCACTTTATCTCTATCCAGCTGCCTGTAACTTTCTCAAGACCTGAAAATTGCTCAACTCTGTTTTCGCTACTCTTATTTCTGTGTTTCTGTATTTTCCGTAATTCATCTTGCTCTCAAAATACACGTTACGCTTTCTGTCTCCTTCCATCGTGCGTCATCCCTTCCCTTCCATCTCGTGACGCCCAACCAAAACACCGCAGCAACAACATTTCCGTGGCTTAAGCTTATAAATAACGCCAAAAACCTAACTTCGCTCCGAGCCGTGATCGATGGAGCCCACGGCCTCAGCCTTGTTTCTGTCCCAGCCTAGATGGGTCAACAAACAGAGCGCCCGCCAAGTCGCGACGACAGTCACCGCGACAGAGTCGCTTGGTACCTTGGTCCACTACTTGAGGCGGAAGCCCAAATAGTCACACTCGGCTCCTATTCAGTTGCTTCATCGACAGCGTCATTGGTCCCAATCATATTCACTCCCACTCGGGGCCCGAGAGACCGGGTGATTTGCTCCTATCACCCCCCCTCACTTCGCGTTATCCAACCGTGCAGTCGCCCAACAAAAGCACACGAGATCGAGTCGACGGCACTCGACCGAACTCCGCCCACACACCCGTTGCCAACGCCCCACGACGAATTGAACGCCAGATTCCCCCTTTCCAGCCCCTCGACATCTGGAACTCTCGCCCGAAACAAGCACTCACGACATCTCGGTAGCTCGGTTGCAAGGTTTGCAACATATCTGGCTTCGTCAGAAGGAAGCGCCACTCTACCTTTCGGAATTAGGTGCTCGGGCAACAGGCCGTTGCAGCTGCCCGTGACCGACCGGAGACGGGTTCCAACGCTCAATACAAATAAACGGCGCCCACAGGCTTCCTCCCCTCCTCCCCATTTCACACAACAGTCTGTCATTCGAAAGCAAACAGAACTCGCGCTCCAAAGTCTTGCCAGTCAAAAGCATTCACGAGCCATCCATCGCCTTGCAAACACTGACGCCCTATATACCACGGGCCCAACGGTCATACCACACAAAGAACAACATCATGTCCCCCAGCAAGAACTCCACCCGCGACCAGCCCCAGCTGCGCAGGAGCCAGAGAATCAGCGGCTACGCCCGCAGCAACAACAGCAGCAACAGCGCCGGTGTGGCAAAGAACACCACACCCCCACGGAGCAAGGGGTCGCGAAGCCCGCTCGAGTCCCAAGGCATCCTCCAAAACGCCCTCCGCTCCGGAACCCGCCTGCCACCGCCCGACAAGCAGCAGCAGCAGCAGCAGCAACAGGAGAAGAAGAAGAAGCCCGCCGCTGGGTCGCCGCCGCCGCCGCCGCCGCCGCCGCCGCCACCGAGGTACCCCACCCTGTCGAGCTTCAAGCACCCGGAGCACGGGACGCGCATCGTCCGCATCGTGCACTGCGCCAACCCGGTCCTGAGGACGTCCGTCTTCAGGGGCGCCGAGGGCCAGCGCGTCACACGCGTCGAGCGCCTGCCCCTCGAGCCCGGCGCCGGCTTCCCGGACCCGTGGGCGCGGCGGGCGGCGGGGCGCCCCTCCGCCGTCGTGCCCGGCCCCGCAACAAAAAGGAAGCTGGAGCACTTCCGCGAGGGCGGCCGGAGCTTTGTGCGCGTGCGCCTGGGCATGCTCTGATGAAAGTGTGTGCGGTGGGGCGGCCCGGGGCGGGCTCTGTTGACGCCGCGGCAAGCAGCGGCTCGAGCCCAAAACAAATCCTTGCTGCTGTGAACCTTCTTTTTGCCCTGACATGCTTCCTGTTTGCACCCAACCTGGTTTCTTTGCCGCAAATTCGCGCAACTTCTTTGGACTGTTTGCATACACAGCTGCTTGGGATATGTTTCTTTGGTTCCCTTGTTTACTTCCCTCATGCCTCAAATCACAAGCCAGGGAGAATTACGAGCGCCCTGTCTTGAGCAAGCTATTTTGTCATGATCTTTTCATAGTTTTACTCGATACCCCTGATAACCCTTCTCTTTCTGCCCTTCTTTCCTCCGTTCAACAATGGTTTTTATTTCAGTACTCAGGTTCGAGCAAGCGAGTCAATGTCTCCGGTGACAAACTACCCCTGTCCCACTCTACTGTCATTCTGGATTCCCCCAGTGCATTTGTGTTCCACAGTAATGGTGTCCAGTCTCCGGAAATGTTGGGTAGGCAAAGTTTATAGAGCAAGATGGAGATGTCGCCATTAGATCCTTGATAGGGAGCCAGGCAATTCAGGATCCAATGTTGGTGCTCCCGCAGAGAGTATTGAAAGCAAGGGCAAACTCGTGGCCACATTCGTAAATGATTTGAGATTTCGCCTCCTCCGAGTTCTCGGCGGCTTTCATAGCCGCATCAGATTTCTCCAAGAAGAATGTCCAAAGTCGAGACGTTGAAGAGAAGAAAGGTTGGGTTCGAACCGGCGGCTGGAATGTGCTCGTAGCCGCGTCCGCTGTCCTCGCCTCGCCCCGAATATCAAGAGGTGCCGAAGTAGCTTGCACCTGATAGTCAGTGGAGGGGATGGCATCCGCCCATTGCACTGGAGTTTCATTCGATGGCGTGGTCCTGGCGACAGGTCTTAGGGGGGACAACGACGGCAGACCCTTTTCAATGCTAGCCTGCAAGGATAATGGTATGGCACCCCGAACCACCCTCCTGGGCGATTTGTGTATGCCTTGCTGTTCTAGTTGCGATCCTGTGGCCCGGAAATGCGATTGGGCTAGATTCCTTCTTGGATTGAACCGGTAAGGAGAGGGTACACCCTCAAACCTAGGGCGGCCCGGGGCCGAATTTGTGATGTTACCATCGGGTCGGGATGGGCTGGCGTGGGAGGCTGGACGGGCCTGAAAGTAGGGACTTCGGGTAGGTAGAGGAGAGCTATTCTGCTGAGAGTCCATCGGAGATGCAGGCCTGCTAGCAGGAGGTGGCATCTGAGAAATTGACCGAGCCCGAAGTCCCTGCTCTCTGCCGACGAGAGGAATCCTGGAAAACTGGCTACTTGGGTGAGGAGAGCTGCTGAATGACTTCTCAGACCGAGAGGGTGAGGATCGGTGCGAGGGCGATGCCATTGCGAGGGCGGAGGCCGAGCGGGAGACTTGGCCGCTGCGAGGTCGACTAGGGGCTGCTGGAAGCTGCGAGGTGCGCGGCCGTTGGATGCGAAAGGCTGGACGGAGAATGCCAAGCGCCTCAAGAGCACTGCAGGTCTTCGCGAAGCCATCGTGGCTCGCAAAAATGAGCCGCAGTCTTTGGTGAGTGCTTGCCTGCCGCCGGTGAGTTCAGCAAGGGGCTCTGTCAGTGAAAAAATGGGAGAGCCAGGGAACAAGTCTACACTCACGGGCTGAGAACTCGACCCCTGGGCTGACGACACTTCCCCCACAGACGCTCTGCGGCTTCCGCTCAGTGGGTACTCAAAGGTCAGATCTATGAAGCCCTGGTCTACGCGCCAGAAAAGAACATCCTTGGACGACTCCTGGGCAAAGCGTCCCAAGTCGATCATCTCCTATAGTGGCCTTGATTAGCAGCGGGAAGCAAGACGGCTAGGAAACTGTCCAGCCCCAGAGCTCACAAGTGTGTGATTCCCGCATAGTATCGTCATGATTTGCGTCGTCGGGTAGACCCCAGAGCGATTTTCTGTCCACGAGACACCGGGAATTATTTGTCTTTCGCCCTTGATGACTAGCTCAGCCACGCCGTCCATTTCAGCCCTCGGATCCTTGCCGTTGAGAATCACGCTTTGCAAGGGCACGACCAGCCTGTCGGCAGGTGGTGCCGGGCTGGAAGACGTCGTCCGTGACGGTGGCATAGTACTGTTTGGGAATCAGCGGCAGAGGAAGATGTGTTTTTGCGCCATTCGTTTCCACCTCCCTTCATGCATGTACTCAAGTCGCACGCGTTCCGCGGGTCCTCGATAGTGGCATCGGAGCAGAGGTCGCTGGGATAAATGTATGGATGTGTAGAATTCAAACAATATTACTATGAACGCTCTACAGTGGAAGGTTTCTGGAAATCAAAATCGATGGCCGCAGAATCGACCCAACATCTAAACCGACCTTCCTGTTCGGAATTTTGGAATCCGTAGAATTTGCCCTGCTCGTGCCTGCCTGTTGGTTCCTGCATGCCTCCCAAAAGGAAGGTGCACATGTGGTTGGACTGCTTATGTAACCCGTGCGACTGGGCACGTCCACTGCAGCTGGCTCAAATTTCGCGTCCTGCAGCTGCCTTTGCTCCACTTGAACTCACCAAGTTCGCGATACACTTGGGCGATTTGTCGCGCAGATCCATCATCGCCATCTCCCTCCCCAGCACTGCGCGACGACACCATCATACCGCACCCGCCTCTGATTCTTCACAGCTGCAATCTTCCAGACACAGAGTCACAAACCCCAATGCAAACAGCGCATGGCTAAAAAATTTCCCTAGCTCTTTTGACGAGCGTTTCGCCCAGGACCAGTCGTCCACGCGGGTAGCCCGTCGCCGACGGCCCAGCGCATTGCGCCAAACGCTCACTTCGATTCGCCAAGCGGACCTCGGGTGTTGAACCATGTCAGTCGAGTCTGACGACGCCGCCGAGTCGTCCTCGGGCGCCTCCCCCAGGAACCCCTCCCGGAGCTCGAGGCCAAGCAACGTCAACAAGAACACCAGCCAGAAAACCAAGGCCACGCACACCATCGACAGGACGCAGGAGTACGACGACTTTATCGCAACACTGAGAACATACCACAAGCAGCGCGGCACCTCGTTCGAGCCCGAGCCCTGGGTGGGCAGTGCGCATCTCGATCTGCTCAAGGTCTTCAGGCATGTCGTGGCCGCCGGTGGATACGACCATGTCTCAGCGACAACGCTCGAGTGGCGCAAGTTGGCAACAGAGCTTGGCCTGGACGTCACGGACCGCAGCGCCGCCGGCGTTGCGTACGCGCTGAAGTCGGCGTTCCTCAAGTATCTAGCCGCCTACGAGATACTTACCATACACAAGAAGGAGCCGCCCCCGCCGCAGATTCTCGAGCATGAGTCCGCTAAAGGCGGCGGCCTCCTCACGCGCACCCTAGAGAACTATACGCCGAAAAAAGGGCCCACGACTGTCGCTAGAGCCGTCAGCGTGAACGCGTCCGCCTCCGAAACCGATGACACCCCGGCCCGGAAGGAGACCCCGGCCCGTAAGGAAACTCCGCGGTCCGGCGGGACGTCGCGGAACCTCCGGGTTGCCCCCCCTCAGCGTGTGATATTCCAGCCCGATACTGGCACTGCCCGGCAGACGCGCCCGGCAGCTGCCTCATCGCAACAGTCATCTCACTCTCACTCGGCCACCGGCACCCCCACCCCTCAGGCAAAGATGGCGCAACCCCAAGGACACTCACATCCCCAGCCCATGGGCATGACCCAGCAGGTTCATGCGCCGCACATGGGACATACCGTTCGCGGCCCCTCCTTCAACTACAACCCGCTGAACCCGGAGGCCACTTCTACGCTGGTCCAGAACTTTGAGCCTCGGCTCGACATGGTGCCCATACAAATGCGGCCGGTTGAGACTCCTGCCAACAGCCCTGCCGAGTTCGACAGGAGGCGGCGGCAGGAACGGCTGAAAGCCTCGGGACTTTTCCCTCAGCCACAGCCCGCCCGCCCACCACCAGGAGGTAAGTAGAGTCGGATGCCTCGTCTTGGACCAGATCGCAACATCATGCGTTTACCACTACCCCTATATCGACGGAGCGACTGACATGGCGTAAATTCACAGCAACGGTTTTTGAAGGCCCTAACATCTATGTGCGCTGCCTATGTGCGCTTCGCTCAGGGATCCCCTCTGAGCAGGCGTATGCGTTGCACCACCTCGTCAAGATCTCGTATGAACGTGGTGATAAGTTCAAGTTCGAAAACTTCGCAGGTCTTGCTGAAGGCCTTGTCAGCAAGGGTCTCGAGGTTGGTGGCAAGTTCTTCCACGTCAACTGGACTATCGACTATAGTGGCGACCCGGATGAGTCCAACCTAGAGGAGCTCGATGGACTAAACGGCACCCCTGACATCCTCGAGCGGATTGCGCGACTGCAGCCCAAGGACGTACTCGACAACATACAACCGGCGGACTTTGCCGACGATATGGTCCAGATAACAGAGGCCGTGTTGACCATGCGTAACATGGTCACCCTCCCGGAGAATGCCATGCAGATGGCCGACTTTCCAGTCCTCAGAGACCTGGTCTGCATCATCTTGCATCTGCCCAACATCGAGTCTGTCGTCGAGCTAAAACACTGTGCCCTGGACATCGCCGAGCAGCTGGCGCCCTACATTGTCCTGGATGCCGAAGATGCACTGTACCGAACCCTCATCGCGCAGCTACACTCGACGGATCGCGGCGCCATCTTGACGGCTCTCCGCGCCACCACGCGCCTCTCCATGTTCCTAGGAGAGACAAACCGCCTCCCCGATGTTCCCGCCAGTGTTCTGCAGAACATTCTAGACTGGCTGATGCTGAACGACGACGAGCTCATTGATGCATGTCTCGATTTTCTTTACGTGTACACGGCCTTTATCGCCAACATTGAGCCACTCCTGAAGACGGTTGGGGCGCCGCATCTCGTCAACCACCTCGTCCGGCTTCTATCACACGGCGCACGGCGGATCCAAAAGGATTACGCCACCGAACCTGAAAAGAAGTTGCCTGCGTGCGAGAACCCACTCCCCATCCCGGAGGACCTCCGTGAGCAGCTCCTTCAGATGGGTGAGCCGGATCGGTGCTTCGCTTGGCTCAAGTGTCTTTTTGAAGAGGACCCCGATTCGGCCATAACGCAAATCGCCATTTGGCAGGCTTACCAAGCATCATTCAGCTTGCACCTGCAGCAAATGTCTAGGCCCATGATTAACGCGGCCGAATTCATCAAGAACGTCCCGCACGTGTTCAAGGAGGCGGAGCCCCAGATCGTCAAGGAGATGGGTGAGCGTGGAGAGACACAGAAGTTCATCATCCGGGGCGTACGGCCTCGGATGCACCCCACGACGACAGAGGGGAGGGAATACGTGCCTTGTCTATGGAAGACGCCAGTGCCTCCTGGTAACGGCCGGCCCGGGCACCGTACCCAGTGCATTCGTCACTTCAAGACCGCCGAGCAGCTGTACAACCACATTATCGTCGAGCATGTGGGCGAGAAGCCAGGCGCAGATGGGAAGTTTGCGGATAGGGAGAGAGACCTGTACTGCACGTGGGGCAGCTGCGCGCGGTTCCCACGCCTCCAGAAGATGCAACTTTCCGTCTTCATGAACCACATCAAGACGCATACCAAGGCGGCGCAGCAGAAGATCGCCCTTGCCCATGCCCATGCCGCCAGCGTCGATGGGGCCGTGGGAAACAAGCGGCCACGGAGGACATACATCGTGCCGCCCCGAACCATCAGCATCCACCTTGAGGAGACACCGTTTTTGCGAGACGAGCGGCAACAGTCCGTTCCGATGGGGATCCCCTTTAGCGCGGTGCTGGTCCTCCGCAACGTGGCAAGGAATGTCAGCAAGGCAGACGGTTTGGTGCTGGATCTCCCGGACCTCGCGTCCGAGGGCCAGGGGCAGTCGGCAAGCCCCCTCGAGCACCTGTTCCGGCCCGTGACCGCTCGTCTCTGCGACATCATGGCGAAGAACCAGCTCCTCGCGAGCTATATCCAGCAGGTGTTGGAGATAACGCGGGATAACTACTGATGTGTACCTGGCGTCGTGATTTGGTGAGGAGAGCATGTTGAGCTGCGAATGCCTGGGAGGGAGTTTGGGCCTTCTCTTTCGATAATGACTTGGCGACGGTCCCGTTCTTGGCCAGAGCGTCCGCTCGCTGGATTTCTGGCACCGGTGTCTTGCGATGGGTTCACTAGGAATAGCGCGATACGAGGGAGAAGGAATGATATCATATTTTATCTCCACATTGAATCGTCCACTATCCGATTTTAAACTCTCTATCAAAGCTCTAAACACATGTGTTGAACTGTTTGTGTTCAAGTATGGTATCTGTGCTGTTGGTGAAGCTGGCTGCGATGCTAAGGCGAACGTCATTGGATGGATTGAGTGTGGGGCCAGCGGCATTCTCCTCCATCCGTTGCCAAAATTCCGCTTTTGCCCGCCATTGAGCTCCTCCGAAGCCTCGGTCAGCAGACCAGACGCGGCGGCCGGAAACAGCTCGAAGAAGGCCCCCTCCTATACCGAAATCGCGAAGCCGACAATGGCCAACCTAGCGATCCTCTCCCGCGCCGCGAGAGGCTCGTCCCTGGCCGCCTCGATGCGCGGCCTCTCGGTCGCGACGCCCGCGATCAAGCCGCGGCAGCAGCAGCAGCAGCAGCACGCCTTCCACCAGACGAGATCACTTTCGCGATCGATATTCGGCTCGACGCCCACCGCGCGCGCGCTCCTGGCCAGCAGGAGGACGTGCGGAGGGGCCCTGCCGGTGGCCGGCGCGCGGCCGACCGCCGTCGCGGCCACCGGGGCGACGGCGACGGCGGCGGTGCAACAGCAGGCGAGGGGGATGAAGCTACGCAGCGCCATCACAAAGCGGTGCGAGCACTGCAAGGTCAGCTGCCGCCCTATCTACCACTCTCCATGTGTGTTTGGGTGTGTGGGGGGTGACGAATACACTGACTCTGTTTCTGTTTCTGTTGTTTGCAGGTCGTACGACGGAAGCGTGGAAAACGGCACCGAGGATGGCTCTACGTCATCTGCAGCGCGAACCCCAGGCACAAGCAGCGGCAGAGCTGAGTTGAAAGGGAGGAGACGCATGCAGATACAATAAGAAGAAAATCTACGCAGCCAGGTGCCATCTGAAGAGAGCCTCTGGATCCGGGTGGACGGGATGTACGATAAGGGACATTTACATGGGCCACGTTGTAGCAAGCAACGGGCGGCTGGGATGGACAGCTCTCGGACAAGGGTGTCGTATTACTCTTGTCGCTCCGGCACAAGCCGACGTGCCTGGGCGGTTGGTTAGGGCTTTCCATGGTGGAGGATGGCCTTGTATATCACACTACAGATTTGTGCAGATACCCGCCGAGCACAACCCACGAGTTGCCGTTCATGCCGCTTGATTAACAGAGCGCTCTATGCTCCCCAGCGTTGCCCGGCCCATCTGTATTAGATGCTGGATTTGACCCTATGGGAAAGATTCAAGCCCAGTCAATAAGCTTGCCTCGGCGTACAGGCCAAAGGCCGTGTTGTTTGCGTGACCACCCTTGTTGGCACATGAAGAGTGGATGTGCAGATGACGAAAACTGACCGGATCAGTGACATGTTTGTTGCTCTCAAACTCGTCTCGAAAATATTTAAGCGTCTCCGTCCTGGTTTTTGTGTCTTGTATTTTGCTCGCGGTTCTGACGAAGCTGCGGTAGAGAGCCAGGACTTTTGACCGGCGAATAAACTGACGCCAGTGATCCGGTTAGCCCATCCACTCATCCCATATATTTTTATACGCACGCCCACACATACCCCATGCGGCTCAACTGGTAGTGGCGCATGCATCCCCCGCTAGGGGTCTGCTGCATGGGTAGCAGGGGGGCTTGGGAGATATACCTGCTCTAGGTCCAGCGTCTGACCAAGTCGAGGGGAGTTTCTTGGTCTGGGAGGTGCTGAGGCATAGTGTCTGAGATTCTGGGGGCAGTATGACTGCCTCAGGAGAAGGCGGGCTGGCATTGTCGCCATTGTTGCGGCGCTTGAGTTGCTGCCCGTGGGTGATTATTCTATAAATCCTTCAATCCGACGATGTAGTTTTTGAGGGAGCCTGTGAGCGCCTGTGTATCTGATTGAAAGCGGGATTGGGGCTTGGTGGTACTCAATCCTAGCCTGTGGTGGAGGCCACATCGTTCTTCTCCACTCCAGTAGGCCAGACTCCAAACATCCGCCGAGATTCGCTGCCCTGGCTTCAGACTGCACCGGGGAAAGCCCAATGACCAATAAGGGGTACATTTTACGATGTATCGATATTGACAGCTTCAAGACTAGAGCATGCTCGCATTTCGGGCTTCTCTACCGTCAAAGAACGAGCCACTTCATATCCTCCTGGTCCGAAATTCAGCTTGACTCAAATACACGCAAATAATGAAGTTGGTTCTGCGTGACCAAGAAACCTTTATCTGTCCCCAAAGCGCCAGCTCAAGGGTTGCTGTTAACCTGCGCCAGTACATCTTATTTGGACCAGTGTCGTCGGTAAAGATGATATCACGAAAGAGACGCAGCGAGCCGTGCGCCATCGAGGTGGCCAATGGCAAGAACGATAACGAGTTTCTCAAAGACTACATACAAAAAACGTAGGTCGCCGGACAGGCCTTTCACATTCACGAGCGAGGCTTTGTCAGGTCCTGACTTCCCCGGCTTCTGCAGTGGGGGACCGGCAGAGTGGGCTTCGACCTGGAGGCATCCTTCGAGCGGCAAAGACTACGAGGTCAGTCCGACACGGTCGGCGCTCATGTCAGCCACCGACCTCACCGCGTGTCTGGGCATGGTCGAGCTCACGAGCGGGGAGGACTACCACAACTCGTCGGTCGGGTGGGACCGCGACGCGAAGCTGGCCGAGATGAAGTCGCCGGACCTCCGCTACATACTCGTCAGGGACGCCGCGGGGGTCATCGCGGCCTTCACCTCGCTCATGCCGACGTACGAGGAGGGGCAGCCGGTGGTGTATTGCTACGAGATACACCTGCTCGACCAAGTCCGCAGGTGTGTTGTGTGTGTGACGTTGGTTGTTGGAGCCCCCTCTTGATGTTGTTGTTGTCGACCAACCCCAACTGACACGGGAAAACCAACTGGCTCTATCTAGGACCGGGCTCGGAAAGCTGCTCATGGGCTATCTGCTCAACGCGGCGGCCAACATGCCGCCGGTTGACAAGGTGATGCTCTCGTGCTTCGCGGCCAACACGGGGGCTAGAACCTTTTACAACAAGATGGGGTTCGAAATAGACGAATTATCACCACAGCCCAGGAGGCTGCGCGGGGGGCGGACCCGGGAGCCGGATTATTTGATCTTGAGCTGCGCCATCGGGCGAAGTCTGCGGGACCAACAACAGGCGCAGCAGCTCGCCGCAGCCTCGCGCAACCGCTCGGTCGCGGGACTCGGGAGCAAGGATGGGGGCTCCAGCTTGGGCAAGGGTGCCGAATAGGCGACGACGGGGTGGACCGGGTCGCCAGGGGGGGGGAGGACAAACTGACGGGATCCACGCGCGCGCGGACGAGCTCGGCACGGGGGTCTGTGCAGTTACCACCAAGAAGCTGTGATTTCCAGACCAGGCCAGAAAGCTGTCGGCTCCAAACACAAAAAAAGCGACCCTAGGATCTGGAATAGAAACCAGATGTGCCAGACTGGTGGTCCATGCTTCTTCTTTCTTGTCACATGGGAAGCGTGGAATGCGACGGCGTCGAGGATGACGTTGGCGGAGGGATGCGGAGAGTTTGCACAAATATCTATCTGATGGCGATTGCACATGGTATCGTTATTTCCGTCATGTGAGGATTTTCCATGCCGTCGGCCTGCACATCCAAAGGCATGGAAGAGGTCTTCTCCGGTCAGCCCTAAAAAGAAACAGCGCAATGAATGCATCTGCCACTTAAAAAGGGGCGAAGGAAGCTGCGCCTTGGCGGGGAGGCTTCTGATTTGCTTCTCGCATTGGGACCCTGGACCGAGACCCATCATTGGTGTCCGAGGCAGCAACCAGTGCCGTGCTTGGAGGGTCTAGGCTGACGGGCTGGAAGAGGCGACGCTAGCATCACTGGAATCTTGGCAATACCCGGGCATCAGACGAGGAAAGATGCAAGAAACAAAGCACCAGCCGAAAAAAAAAATCAAGACCGCAAAATGCTTTTCCCCACCCAAACTCTATAGCAAAAAATATCACAACAAACTCAATCAATTCAATTGCAACATACCAAAGCACCATCATACGCCCAAAACATCTCGGATTTTTTCGCCAACAATAAAAAGCGAAGGCAAAATGACTGCCCATTAATTTGCATATAAGTTATAGTTGTTGGCTATTTCTTTTGGTGGTGTTGATTGACTTGGCAACGGGAGCCCCTTTTTTGCGGTCTTGATTTTTTTTTTCGGCTGGTGCAAAGCAAATGGAACAAAAAAAATACAGAAACCCGCAGCGCAAATCCACACAGATTCGGCTACCTACGTGTCATTGCCTCATCAAGCAAATGTCTGCTTTCCCTCCATGTTACCTCGACGGGGGTTGAACTCGAGCTCAGCCTCCAGCCCAAGACAGTGGGGGGAATCATGCCCAAAGCAAGGCCGCCCACCATTGATTGGCACACATACGGGAAGCTAACCTCCTCCTCTGCGGTCACACAGGTGGGAAGGTCTGACGCCTCGCATTAGGCCATTCACGGCTGCCGACCCTCCCCCTTGCACCCCATCAGATCAGCTCGCTAGGCACCCTAGTTTGTTATGGGGGCACGGCTGCCGGGCCACCTCCAAGCTCACGCCTGTTGGCCCCCGTCTTAAATTAAAGCCCCCTCGGTCGCAGTCAGACATTCGGTTCTCACGGCATTGCAACCTGCGCTCCTTTGTTTCACGGCCCCATCCCAGGTGTTTCTTTTCTTACCACCTTAATTGACTCGCCCACCCCGAGTTTGGAGATATTCTTGGTTCGAATCCATCTTATAATAACCTACTTCTCCCCGGGCCACCGGCAGAGCTTCCAACATGGACCACCAGCAACAGCCACAGTACCACCAGCAGCAGTACCAGCAGCAGCCGCAGCAACAACAGCAGTTCGCTCCGCAGCAGCAATACGTTGATCCAAACCAGCAGTACCATCAACAGCAGCAGTACCAGCCGCCGCCGCAGCAGCAGCAGCTACATCATCAGCCAACAATGGACCCCAACCAGCAGCAGCAGCAGCAGCAGTACCAGGCCCAGCCGCAGATGATGATGGCTGCCCCTCCTCCCCAGGACCAGGAGTGGAACGCCAGCTTCATGTCATGCTCGCCCTGCGACGGCTGTCTGCTGGCGACGTGCCTGCCGTGTATCCGTAAGTCTAGCTGGAATTGCCAACTACTGGCAGCACCACGAGGCCCCTCCTCTCGGCCGAGACTGACACGTAAAACGCAATAGTGGTGGGCAAGACGTCGGAGCGCATGGCCGACCCCTCGCTGTCGAGGTACGAGGTCTTCAACCCGGAGTGCCTGATCATGGGCGGAATCACCTGGATCGGCCTGGGCTTCGTCTACGCCATGATCAAGCGCGTCGAGGTCCGCGAGAGGTTCGGCATCAAGGGCAGCGGCTTCGGCGACTGCTGCGCTGCCTACTGGTGCCCGTGCTGCGTCGTGCTCCAAAACGTAAGTTCCTGCGCGCTTTCCCTGTGTCACGTCACTCTTGCTAACAAGACCCTCGCCGAAAACAGGACAACGAGGTCAGGTCTCGTGTTGGCGAGCCCGGGGTCCCCGTCCCCGTCGCACAGGGCTACCAACAGAACCCTGGAATGGGGATGCCCTCGCCGCCGCCCCCCGGCAAGAACTGATTGGCCAAGACATTGTTCTGCATTGTCGACGCCGTCATCTTTTTATCCTTTAATTGTTTAGATTTTGTGATACCATTGAACCGTCGGGGCTAGCTGCACCCGCACCAGCACCCAGGGGCTGGGTTTCTTTTTTTGTTGTTTTGTATCACCCAGAACGACATGGCTTGAGATATCTAGTTTACAGCTACAATATAATGGTGTTGGGAACAAAGACCTACAAGAAACCTTGGGCATTCTTCTCCAGCTCGACCGTTCGAACGTGTCCCAGATGAGCCGAAAGCTGCAACGAGCACGCGTTTGCTACCATGCTCACGGATCTGGATACGACGTGACGCGAGACACGGGGTCCTGCACTACTTTGCTGTTCCCAATTTATCTCTCTCACGGCTGCAACCACACCTGAAGGCGGAGTGGGGCCGACGAGGTGCGGCTGAGAGTGCCGAGGATCAAATCATGCCGCAGCCCACAACACCAACTGCTTCGCCCTCGTGCCCCTCTCTCGTTTTCGCCTGGTGATTCCTGCATAGGAAGTGCCAGGTCTCTCACCATCCTGCTGTGCCTCACCTCGAGGCAAAGCGGCCTGAATTCCATGCTCCTCCCTTGGTTGCCCGCCCCTTCGTCTCGACGTAATCGATCGACCCGTCGATGACAGGGGGCCAATAGTGGTCCTCGCTCTTTCCAACGGGCAGATGCACAAGCTCCGCCTAACCCAAACGCCGCGCCGGCGTATTTTCTGTCGTGTTTGTGCGTCCTGCGTCTTGGGGCAAGGCGTTTTTTTTTCTTTCTTTGCTTTTCCCCCTCTTCTGCACATCTTCTCCAGATCTGCACTTGGCGTGTGCTCCCGGGGCCAATGAAGGAGGGCCGGGCGACTTGCACCTTACCGGAATCGTGGCAAGCCCATGGGAGAGCTAGCAGGTATCCAAGGCCTGGGATTCGCTGCTAGCTCATGCGCCCGCCCATTTTTGGCCCACGAGCTGAAATGAGAGATGGCACAAGCGCCACACCGTTCTTCGGGCTGCTGCTGCCCGCCCGCCCTGGCAGGACGGCGTGATCATACAGCCGGGTGTCTTTTTTTGCCTGGGAGCTGAGAGGACAAGATGCTGTGGCGTGCCCACCCACAGGTCCCCAGAATCGTAGGTGGCTGCCGCCGTCGCTTTGGGCTCTTTCTTTTCCGAGTTTTTGGGAATCCCATCCCTGGGCGGTGCTTTTTTTTTTCTGTTGCAAAGCAAGGCTGCCCCGTCGCTCGCCTAGCTCTCACTACCCAGACATCCCCCCTTCGAGTGCCATACCGCCACGATCGATAATGGCACGGAACTGCGCCGTCAGCCTCCTCGCGGCGGGCAGGATGCTCCTGCTGTTGGGGGCCGCGCCCGTCGCGTCCGCCTTCTCGCCCAGGATGGAGTACCGAGGTCGGGAGTGGACGCCGGCGAAGCCGACGCGCCTGGCGTCGGTAACGCTCGCGGGGGTGGGCGATGTGTCGCCGGCCCCGACGGAGGCGCCCAGGCACGGCGGCGACTTTGGCGGAGTTGAGTTGTTCAAGAGGGACTATACCATGGGCTCCGACACGTGTGGTTTCGCGGCTCAGTACAAGTGTGCGTTCCAACGTCCAATCTCCGCCCCTGGCACCGTCATCATCGCCTCTCGTCGGCGACGAATATCTCGGCAATGAGCTGACCGGAGGAGCTAACGGTGAAAACAGCGGAGCCATGGACGTGTTTCCGCGTCGACGCCTCATGCGTTTCCTTCTCGACCGCCATGGGCTGCTGCAACGGAAAAGAGCCGGACTGCCACAGCACGATATTGATGTCGTGCCGTGACTACACGAGCGGCGTCTCTGCCAGTTGCGGCACCGGAACACTATGCTGGTAACAGAGCCCCTTTTCCCCTTGCCCTCGTGTCGGCGGCATTCCAACTCGTCCCTCGCACGCCGTATGCAACTGACAACCCGCCTTTCCTCTCCCCTTCACAGCGCGAGCGCCTCGCCGTCTTGCTTCACGTGGCAGTACTCGACCACCAACTCGGCCGGCCAGGCTGGCAGCACCTACTCCATCTTCAACTGCTACGTCTCGGGCGGCACCGGCACGCTGCTCTCGACCCCGCCCGCCCTGCGCCTCTCGGGCACGTCGTCGGTCAAGACCGAGAGCACCCGGCTCAACCCGCCAGACACGACCCCCACCACCACCGGCGGCGGCGGCGGCGGCGGCGGCGGTTCGGGCTCCTCGCAGACGTCGCCCCCGGCCCCGGCACCAAACTCCAATTCGGCCAGCAACAACATCGGCGTCATCGTCGGCGGCGCGGTCGGCGGCGCCGCGATCCTCGCCGGCGTCATCGTCGCCGTCTTCTGGCTGGTGATGCGCAACAAGCGCGAGAAGGCAGCCGCAGCAGCAGCGGCAGGAAACGGCGGTCCAGGCACGGCGGCAGGCGGCGGCGGCGGGGTGGCCGGGTTCGCGGGCGGCGGCGCCTACCCGCCGTCGGGGGTGTCGCCGGGCCAGACGACCGTGTCGCCCGTCACGGCGGTCGGGTCGCCGCACATGAGCCAGAACGGCTACTTTGCCGTCCCGCAGCAGGGGCAGTACCCCGGCCCCGACGGGCGGTACCCTAGCTACTACGAGCCCGCGAAGCAGCAGCCCAGTCCCGTCCACAGCGACCCGCGTTATAGCGTGATGCAGCCTCAGCACACCGGCAACTCGATGGGTGGCGGCGGCGGTGGGCAGTGGCATGCGCCTGCCGGCAGTCCGCAGCAGGCGCCGCCGATGGAGCTGGCGACCACGAATCCTGTCGGATCGACGGGGAACCGTGCTGAGCTTCTGTGATGAGGGGTTTGTGGAGGTGCTGCTTTTGTCTGCCTGATGCCGAAGCCGGATCGAGACCGGATCGCGGCTGATATGTTTCTACGGCCGCCTGGTGTTAAATAATACGTTGTGTTGGAAAATGCTCGGGCTTTCTGCATTATAGAGTCTTGGTTGGGTGAACGTGGAACTCTGGATAACCATTCACTGTATTTGTGTTTTAGCGTTGTGGTTGCTGTGATAGTTCTGCTTCTGTCTGGGTTTAGGACAATATAGGTACTTTCTAGCGTTACCGTCCCCGTGTCCGTCATCGAGATACATTGCATATTCGAAAAGAGTTGATGAAACACGACATTATACAGAGCCTTGGTTGGCAAACGTCAACCCGAGCCGAAACAAAGACCACAACCAAAAGGCCTACCCCCTCCCCATAATCAGCGAGACCCAAGAGGCCAGCACGACGGCGGCGCGCCGCAGCGCCCGCCGCCTGCTCAGCAGGACCCAGACCGCCGCGGCCACGGCGGGCGAGGCGAGCAGGGCGCGGGCGATGAGCTCGCCCTGGCGGTCGGTGCGGCGGACGACGTCCGAGTAGCGCTCGTTGCCGAACGAGACGCGGGCGTAGCGCGTCTGCCAGCCGAGCGAGGGCAGGTGGGCCGACAGCAGCTCCTCGAGGCGCTTGCGCAGGCGGTAGGCGGGCGACAGGACCGACGACCGCATCTCGACGTAGTTGTGCAGCGCCAGGTCATTGATGACGTGCGCGTCGGGCGCCCGCACCGCCGTGTACTCGGCCAGCGCCTGCGCGCGGTGGTGGCGGTCGCGGTCCTGCCGTGTCGAGTCGTCGTCGTCGTCGTCGTCGTCGGTGTCGTTGCCCTTGCCCGGCCCGCGCGCAATCTCGGCGTGCTTGTCGAGGACGGAAAAGAGTATGCGGACGTCCTCGAGCCCGGCGTTCATGCCCTGCCCGTAAAAGGGCACCATGGCGTGGGCGGCGTCGCCGACGATGACGGCCGACGACGAGTGGTGGTAGGGCGAGCACTTGATGCTGATGAGGGGCAGGTGCGGGTTCACCTTGAAGGACGCCACGAGGTCGTCGGATGGGATCAGGCCCGTGACGCCCGGGAAGTGCCGGTCGAAGAAGGCGGGCAGCCCGTCGGGCGAGGCCTCGAGCGCGGCGAACTCGGCGCTCGGCATAAAGAGCGTGCAGGTGAAGGAGCCGTCGGCGCTCGGGATGGCGATGAACATGAAGTCGCGGCCGGGCCAGATGTGCAGGTGGTCGGGCGAGATGGCGAACCGGGAGGGCTTTGGGTCCCCGTCCCCGTCCCCGTCGGCGCCCGCGCCCGCGCCCGCCTCCCTCGGCCTGATCTGGAACTCGCACCAGAGCGTGTCAATGTACTCCTGGGTGTAGTCCATGCGCGCAAACTTCATCAGGTGGTACCGCGCCGCCGAGTGGGCGCCGTCGGCCCCGATCATGAGGTCATAGTCGATCTCGAACTCCCGCGCGCGCCCCGTCGTCTCCTTGCCGCCTCCCTGGACCTCGAACCAGGCCTTGCGGCGCTGGAAGTCGGCCCCGGTCAGCTTGTGGTTGAAGAGGATCTTGACATTGTCCATCTCCTCCAGCTTGTCCAACAGACCCTTGTTCAGGCCGGCACGGTCAATGGCAAAGATGGTCTACGCCAGCCATGTTTGTTGTTTGTTTCTATTAGCAGTGATGCGTGCCACGTGATACATGCCGTATGGCCACCCTGTTGACCTACCCTGCCATGAATGTCGTAGTCCTGAGACGCCTCGGTCAGCTCACCCGATGGTCGCTTGCCGTGGATCATCCTGCCGCGCATGGGAATGGTGGCGGCAAGGACTTCCTCGAGCAGGCGAGGCTGGCCAGCATGGCGTAGAGCGTTGATGCCCCTCTCGGACAGGGCGAGGTTGATGGATCTGGTAAAGTTGAGGGGAGTTGTGGATGGATCTCGGAGGTCTTGAGGTGTTGCCAGTTAGTTTAACATGGTGTCGCGTGCTGAATTGAATTGAATTGATTGGCGTGCTGAGGCTCGCGTCTCACCATCTCGTAACTCGTAAATCTCCACCTCGTGGCCCCTTTGCGCGGCGTACAGCGCAGCCAGTGACCCGACAGGGCCGGCACCGACTACGACGACCTTTTGCTTGGACCCCATGCCGCACAGATCTGGAGGCTTTACAGAATTTTACAGACGGAGTGGTTCGCGGTGCCAGTCCGAGAATAACAATCCGAGAACAACTGTGTAGTATGGCACGCTGAAGAAAAATTGGCCAGGTTTAACTCTCACACATCATGCTCAGAAAGGTTCTTTAGACAGACATATGTACTCTTGGCGGGTTTTGCCGCCCCCTCCCAGGACATGGGAAAAATGTCTCAAGGTCGCGGAGCCGAGAGGTGACAGCTCGGATGACAGGCAAAAAGTACCTTTGAGCCGCGGATAGTGCCGGACACAGTCTGGTTTGGTGGGCCCGCAGCTGTTCGCTTTGAAGGAGCTGGGGTGCTGCGAGTTTGGGTCAAAGCTGTTTTCTGATTCACGATTGTGCTGTTATGGGCACTACTCTGCCCGGTCATGAGGCGCCCAAGAAGAAGCCAGCACAAAGCAGCACAGTCGCCCGACATGGCGGCGGCATGGAAAAGCCGCTGGCAACCAAAGCAACAAGATCAGTACTGTTGTGTTTGTACCCATTCAGCCATTCTAGCATCAAGCTCAGCGGTCTCGCCCAGACAGAGCGGGTGCCAGTGGAGAACTGCAAGGCTATTGCCAGAGCTCAGACCCCGCCCATTGGCCGCCTTCCAGGGGTAGGCCCGCGGGTGGGAAGGAGGGGTGGCGCCACCCGTACAGCCTACCATTTGTCACATTCGTTTTTTTTCTGCTGGATTTTATTTTGACAACAGGGCGTACGCACGGACAACCACGGCTGGGCGCATCGGATTTCCTCTCCCGCTTCTAGCGCATTGTTCTGCACCTTTTTATTCAGCCTCGGGGACCACACAAGGCAGCAACCCCTCGGCCCTCTTCCTTGCTTTTCCAACGCCACTCTCCCACGCCAGCCGCCCACGATGGCCTCAGAGCCCCCCTCTAAGCGCAAGTGCCTCAGCGCCGACTGCGAGAACGATGCCGGCTCCCTCCAGTGCCCGACCTGCCTGAAGCTCGGCATCAAGGATAGCTTCTTCTGCTCGCAGGACTGCTTCAAGAAGAACTGGGTACGGCCGACACCCTGCCCCTGGGGCTTGTCTTGGTTGGAGCCCTGCTAACCACCAAGGACCGGGCAGGGCACGCACAAGGCGATGCACAAGCAAGAAAACAGTATTTTGAGCCACCTCTTCCCTCCAAAGGTCGTGTCTAAGCCTGATCCAGAAACCGGTCACCACAACCCGTTCCCGGCCTTCAACTACACGGGCCCTCTGCGCCCTGTCTACCCCCTGTCGGAGCGCCGCAAGGTTCCCGCCTCGATCCCCCACCCCGACTATGCCGCCGACGGCATCCCCAAGCAAGGCCGCTCCCTCGGCCGGTCAAACAAGATCGAGCTCCTCGACGCCAAGGCCCAGGATGGTATGCGCAAGGTCTGCCGGCTGGCCCGCGAGGTCCTCGACATCGCCGCCGCCGCCATCCGCCCCGGCATCACTACCGACGACATCGACAAGATCGTCCATGAGGCCTGTGTTGAGCGAAATGTGCGCAGACCCCGGCTTGCGTATGCGCCGTCGCCGTGTTGTGGGCGTAATCTAACAGTGCGCGTCGACGCCCATATCTAGTCGTACCCCTCGCCGCTGAACTACAACTACTTCCCCAAATCGGTCTGCACGTCCCTGAACGAGGTTATTTGCCACGGCATCCCGGACCAGCGCCCGCTAGTTGACGGCGACATTATAAACCTGGACGTGACCCTCTACCACGAGGGCTTCCACGGCGATCTGAACGAGACCTATTATGTGGGCGACAAGGCCCTGGCCGATCCCGACTCGGTCCGCGTCGTCGAGGCCGCGCGCGAGTGTCTGGAAGAGGCCATCAAGCTGGTCAAGCCCGGCACTCTGTTCCGCGAGTTTGGAAACGCCATCGAGAAGCACGCAAAGTCCAAGGGCTGCAGCGTCATCCGCACCTATGTCGGCCACGGCATCAACGCCATCTTCCACTGTCCGCCCAACATCCCCCACTATGCCAAGAACAAGGCCGTGGGCGAGTGCAAGCCCGGCATGACGTTTACCATTGAGCCCATGATTGCTCTCGGGAAGTACCGCGATGTCACCTGGCCGGACAACTGGACGAGCACCACTATTGATGGCAAACGGACTGCCCAGTTTGGTAAGTGATGAGCCTTGGATATTTGTTGGAGCGTCAAGACCCGTGCTAACATGGCCTCTTACACAGAGCACACCCTTCTTGTTACCGAGACGGGAGTCGAGATCCTGACCGCCAGGAAAGCGGACTCCCCCGGCGGCCCGGTGCCGATGCCAACCCCGGCCGCAGAACCGGAGGCGGCGGATGCTAATGAAACCAAAGCATAGAAGTAAAATGAAGACCATGTCAATTCTCTGAGTAAAGGACACTAGTAATGTTGGTTGTGTTGGTGCCTGGGGAGCGAAAGACTAATTCTCTTAGCTTTTGTGTTCATGGCGGCTAATAACAGGCTATTTGCTGAGAATCTTGACCGTCCAGAACACAGCGAGAGGCGAGGTTCGGCTTGCTTCATCTACCGGACTGCATTGGAAGATAATGAGTCTATGCTCGACGTCTTGTCTGGCGTTCGTTTCACCTTTTCGATATACGAGCGCAGATTGCAAAGATAGCTCTACGCATATAGACATGCCCGCATAATATCTAAGTGTGAGGAGGGGAAAGAAAGTCATGAACGACTTCCAGTCTCATCTACACAACAGGGAGGTCTTTTCAAGGGAGGTCTTTTCACTGTGTGGAGAGCAAAACCAACACGGTAGGGGTATGAAGAGCGTTTTAGGGGCTAGTATCTCGGTCTAGCTAGTCGCTGCCGCGCCCTTGGCCTCGGGATGACCCTCCCCGCCCGGTCTCGGCTACGTGGACAGCACTGCCGCCCGCATACGACCACAATCCCAGCTCGTCCGGCTCGAGGCGCATGCTGCAGACATCCTTGGATTGGCCAAAGACGACGACGTCGGTCGTCCGGCCCTCGCGGTAGCTGATGCGGGCCATATTGACGGTGCGGCGCGACGGGTCCGTCTCGTCGAAGTTTGACGGCACGAAGCGGACGCCCGAGTGGGCCGTCGTGGTCAGCGTGTTGGGCAGGTCCTCCTTTACGGGCACGTGGTGCATGCCCAGGTTCAGCCACAGCACCACGTCCTCCTGGACCAGGGCCTCGTCGTCGGCGGCGAAGCGCGAGAAGTCGACGAGCGGGTCGGCCACGTCCTGGTTGTTGGACGCGTGCGACAGCCACGGCTCCGCGTCCTTGTGCCTCGTGACGTGCAGGTCGTGCTCGGCCCAGCGCGCCGCGTTCTTCAGGACGGGGGACCCGCGGACGGTGAGCCGCGCCGTCGGCCCGCTGCGCACGACGCGGTACCCGCGCGCCTCGCCCCCGCGGACGTCGCCGCGGTTGACGACGCGCACCTGCGTCGCGCCCTCGGCGTCCCAGTCCAGCCGCCCTTGGGCCTCGCTGGCCACGACGGTCCGCTCGAGCCGCATGGTGCTGCGCGACAGCCCGCCCGGCCAGGGGTACGACACGACGGCGGGCGCGGTGCGGACCAGCTCGACCGTGTTGGCGGCCCCGGCCACGTCAAAGTCGGCCTTGAAGGCGATGACGTGGTCGTGCATGGAGCCGCTGAGGTTGTCGCGCAGGGCGTAGCCGTGGCTGCTGTCGTCGTTTTGGTTGTTCTTGCCGCCGCTGCGGTGCGCGCCCTGCACGAAGCCCGAGGCGCGCACGTCGACGGCCACCTCGCCGCTCAGGGTGAAGGTGTAGGAGACGGTGTAGTCGTAGTTGGCCACGGTGGCGACCTGGCGCACGACAAAGTACGTGTTGCGCGTCACCGACACGGTGTCGTCGGTGCTGTGCCGCTGCAGCGCGTGGTCGGCCGCGGCCTCGAACAGGGCGACGGCGCGGCGCCGGGGCGCCAGCCCTTCGTACTCGTACGATGTCATGTCTAGGTACGTGGCGTACGCGGGGGCGTCGAACCCGACCACCATCTCGCTCGCGTACCGCCCGAAGCCGTAGCTGTTGTCCAGGTATGCGGTCCCGGCCTGGACCGGGTCGTTGCCGGCGTAGTGCGACAGCGCCTCCTGCAGCCCGAGCTCCCACAGCACGCGCTCGCCGCCGAACCGCACGTCGTGCAGCGACACGCCCGTGTCGCCGCAAAAGCCCAGGTGGAAGCTGAAGCCCATCCACTCGACGTAGCGCTCGCCCGGGTCGAGCGAGAAGCGCGACCCGCCGGGAGCCGCCAGCACGGGCGGTCGCCTGTCGTCCAGCGGCATGGCCCCGGGCCCTGGCCGGTGGTCGGTCCGGGCCCAGTCGCCCTCGACGTTGACGCCGAGCTTCTCGAACCCGGGGCTCCAGTAGGCGGCCCTGAAGGCCGCGGTGCTGTTGTAGAAGACGCCGCCGTACAGCCAGCCCTCGAGCCGCCACGCGCCCGGGTCGCGGCCCGTCACGTCGGTCAGGAGGAAGATGCCCGTCGGCAGCAGCGTCTGGGCGTCGCTGTAGTCGGTCGGCAGGTTCCAGAGCGTGTCCCAGCGGCGCACGCGGCCGTCGTCCTCCTGCCACAGCGGATCGATCCCCCAGATCTCGAGCGTGTCGTTGCGCCGCCCCAGCAGCGTCCCGTTGAGGAGGTCGCGCGTCACGTCGGCGATGTCGCGCGTGTGCCGGTACAGCCACCGCTCGTGCAGGCTCTCGCCCGCGTCCGCCTCCAGGTTCCGGACCCGCCCGCCCGAGGCCTTGGTGAAGGGGTAGGCGAGCGGCGACCACGACGTCGTGGCTAGGTCTATGGGCAGCGGCCCGACGAGCAGCTCGGCGATGACGGGGTTTTCTGTCGCGCGCTGGTCCAGCGTCACGCGCGCGTACTTTGGCGGCGCCGGGCCGTTTCCGTCCATGTAGGCCAGCGCGTCGGTCTTGTTGGGCCGCATGACCTCGACCGATATGCTTTGCGCAGACGCAGCGGGCAGCCCACGTTAGGCCCCGTATATACTCCCTCACCTGCTTCGTGGTGGCCGTGGCGTGCCCTTTTTATACAAAAAAGACTTACATGGTGTTGTCCCAGTCGCCGGCGTCCTCGGCGCGCGTGAGGTTCAGCCCCCGCTGCCGGAAGAGCCAGTCGACCACGGACCCGACCTCCTGCTCGCTCAGCTGCGCCCAGAGGTTGCGTTTGGGTGCCTTGATGCTAGCCGGCGGGCTCGGCGCGCAGGTGCCTTCCTGCCGGGGCTCGTGGCGGGCGTGATCTCCGGATCCGGATCCGGCCCTGGCGTGCGGTCTGGGAGCGCCGCGACGGAGTCTTCTTCCGTGGTAACCCGTGTGCCGTCGTCCGCCCGAGGGACGTGCATGCGCCCCCTGGATCAGCAGGCATGCCAAGATGGCGAACACCAGCCATCTGGAGAGCCTGGGGTTCTTGGTGCGATGCATGGTGAAACTCGATGGCAGAAGCAAAGCAACGGCCCAGGGCAAAGATATTTCGCCATTCTAGGCTGACAAATGGCCAGCCTTTATATACATCCACCTTTTCCTGCTCGTGTCTTTCCCACCCAGGACACAGCCGGAAATGGGTTTTGTTGCACTGTCGGGTTCGTCTCTCTTTAGGCTTCTGGCTATTAGCTCATTTCTCATTTGGATGATTTGTCGATCTGTACGTGTAATTTCTTAGACAGTCGAGGGGGTCGTGAAGACCAGCGATGTAACACGCCATCAGATCACAGCCGGGAAGGGGTTTGGCCGCCAGTTTGTCGGTTGCGGGAGTGGTCGCCCGCGGCAGCTTTTATCGGAAAAGGGGCCTTGGCAGAGGGACAGAGCCAAAGTTCAAAGTTCAACGTCTGCAGCTCCCCTTGGCCGCTAGCAAAGACAATGCATCCTGGCCATCGGGTAAACGGGAGACAAACACCCGTCACCGTCGAGCTTCCAATTCCGGGAATGCGGTAGATGCAATGCAAGTCCATGTCCCGCGCTGTGGGGCCCCGATAGTAGCGCATCCACAAGCAGTGCTGCCGAGCCCTCACCTTCGCCGTCGGCTCGCTGGGCGGGGAAGCATGCATCGGACTATCACTAAGAAAGACCATTACCGGGAAAAGCTCCCTTGCTGCCTTGGTCTAGAGCTCTACGGTCTTTCCTCCAGGAGCAGACCTGAGTAAATATTGGACCCATGCGATGCGGTAACCCACCTGGGCCAGTGAGGATGAGGTTGCTTCTGGAGGGGCTACGGAATACATACATCCTTTTATATGTGCTGCAGCGAACTGGATGGCAACCACCGGAGCAGCAAGCTATGTGGGTTGTAATTGGCCAAGGTGTGCCGTGACCACCACATTGGCCGTGGTGGCGTTCCCGAATATATACGACATGGTGGAAGCATAGCCTTGTAGCAGTAAATAATGATGGAGGAAATGGGAGTGTTAGCAAGCTGAACAAGACTTCAAATCAATCCCAAGCGTCGCAGAAACGATTCCTCCTCAATGACCTGCGCGCATTCGTCGCTTGGCGGCGCAGAGCCTGTGACCAGCTGAAAGATGCCCATCTTTGAGACGATGAAGTCGTCCAAAGACGACGAGAGCTCCGGCCCGACATTTTCAATGTCTTTGACGGTAGCATTCTGCTTTTCTTGATGGACTTCATTGATGTACCTTTGGAGGGCTTCGCTGACAGGCATCCCCCGGTCCTCGGCTTTGTTGCGGATATGGGTGTCCGCCTGGGAGCGTATGACGACGTATGGCTGTCCGCGGAAGTGGCATACCGCAAGAATGTTCAAATCGGACTTGGTTTTGAAATGGAAATTTCAGCATGAACTAATCGAGCAAAAATTATGCCTCGCCACGGTATTATACACCTAGATGAAGGTACATGAATGGGAATCTCCGTGGTAATGAGTGTGACGTACCTCGGTTAGGGTGTTGTTGTGGACCAACACTATCGTGTCGAAAGCGTACAACTTCTGATTGAGGTAGCACATTCAGGCGGTGAACTGTGCCGTGCCTGCCCACGGTTCCCTACTAGGGCAATATTCCTGCAATTTGGTCGGTAACCGACCTCGGCCCTTGCCTTGGAGCTCATGTCCTCGTCGATGTTGGGATTTGGCGGGATGCCACTGTTTGCCCGCTGTCGTTAGCATACACCAAAGCCGCAGAATGGAAGCATCCACAAAAAGTATACTTGCAGCTCACGCAGCCTCTTCTCCTTCTTTTCTCTTCGTTCAGCCGCTTCTCTGGCCATTCTCTTCTCCCTGGCCACCCGTGCCTGCCAGGATGCCTCTGCTCGAGCTTCCGAAGCTCGCGAGGCCTCGTAACTGGCGAAAATCGACGATATGACGGTCTTGGTGATGAACAAACCCACCGATTCCTTGAGGCCTAGGTTCCCTCCCTGAATGATGCTTGATGTCTCGTAATGGGGGACGGGGTTGTTTCTTGGGCTCGGGGTTTCGAACGAAACACGGGGGATATTTATGCACCTTGTGTGTTGCTTGGGAAGGCAAGGTCGTATGGGTCGCGTTGGAACGCGAGGTTAAACTGGCCGAGGGCTCGTCTCTGTTTTTTTGAGAGTCCGGGGAGTTTCTGGAGCCCTGGGAGTCTCGATCACCCGTGATAGGATCTTCCTCCCTGGTGTGATCGAACAAGGGGTGTTCTTGGCTGATGATGAAGGCGGAGGAAGGGCTGACGATTGGGCTCAAATCCAGGTATTCTAACCCACGGGTCGAGCAACCTTCCTCGAAGGGCCGCAGCGATAGTCTAGAACTAGGAAGCCAGGCCGTGGGGTGGATGCATGTCAAAAGGGGCGTGGGGTCATGTTCACATAAGGTCTTCTTGGGGACGATGAACGGACAGCACGGCGGTTCGCTGTAGGCTTCGCGTTAATTGAGGAGGACCGTGAATGGAAGGCCCCTCACGGCGCAATATAGGTACAAGGAAAGCAATGTTTGTATAAAATACTTTCTGCGTAGGCTGCCACTAACCAGAGTATCTCGATAAACATCCAAAGTACCTCATGGGGGTGTGTGTTCAGAGTAATGTGTTATTTATTGCCTGGTAATCATCGTGCGCCAATAGGATAAAGAGATAAAAGTGAGGCAACGAACCGGATGCCAGCATGTTAACCCTAAAGGATTGTTGGTGATGTTATATTTTGACGAGCCTTCCCTCAAGTCCATGTAGATAGCCACTGCCAGTGCCTCTGCCAGCAATGCAGAAGCGGGGTGTCGGTACCGTAGCCTCGGGCGTTTTGGTTGGTCGTGCTTAGCATAAGCTTCCGACTTTGCTACACGTGCAACCGGTGCGGAGAGAGGGGGTGGTCGAGGCCAGGGCACGTTTTAACACGACCACCCCGACGAAAAGAAATCCGAGCATCAAAAAGGAATTCCACACCTAAATTATCACTCGAAAGAATTGGCGAACTCGGATGGCTTTCTCCCGTTGAGTCCATGGCGCAACGTTACCCCCTGCTTGGCAGCGCTTCCGTTGCAGATACTGTTGGCTTTAGTCGTAGTTGATATACCGCTAAGACTGACCAGACAGGAAGGTTACGTTGTACCGCCCACGCAAACAGGCATGAGATAAAAGCGACAGACGACGACAGGGTACGTTTTGATTTTCTATGGATCGTCTCCATATCCAATGCCATGGTGATGTGGGGGTATGCAGACAGGGCAGGCCTTGGGGCTTCCGAGACGGTATAATAGTACAAGACCGTCACCGCTCGCCATGTCTGCATCGGGGTCACGAGCCCAAGACGGAACAAGGGGCGAGGCCAGCTTCCGCGATGCGCGCCAACGGCATCTTGAAATTGGCCACCGCCATCTCGGCCGCCTGCGCGGCCGTATCCCCCGGCATCCCGACCGTGCCCTTTGAGCGCGACGGTTCCGCGATCCTGGACTTCTCGAGCCTGGGCTCCATCGTGGTGGACGAGGCCCACGCCGCCTCCAGGGACACGCGGGGGCTGACGCTGATCCCGCCCACGCTGCGGGAATTTGCAGAGACGTTCGCGGGCGATGTGGGCTCGGTGCTCGGGCAAAACATCCCGGTCGTGACGGGCACGGCCGCGGCACCGGGGGCCATCTTCCTGACGCTCGGGGACGCGTGGGACTACCTCGACGTCGCCGGGCGGGAGACCTCGGAGGGCTACACGCTAGAGACGACTACCGATGGCCTCATAGTCAGGGGGGCGAGTCCCCTTGGGGTCTGGTGGGGGACCAGGACGGTCCTCCAGCAGGCTATCATTGGGAACGGATCGCTGCCTCTGGGCCGCGCCGTGGATAGTCCTGGCTGGGAGAGCCGAGGGATGATGGTAAGTGGCCTCACCTCGACCAAAAGGCTGGTCCTGCATCCTCTCTCAGGACTGACACGAGACGAAGCTCGACGTCGCACGACACTATTACCCGGCCGATTTCCTGATCGAGATGTGCGCGTACATGTCGTTCTGGAAGCAAAACACCTTCCACCTGCACCTGTCGGACAACCTCTGGAACAACGCGCGCATCTACTCGTTCGAGCGCCAGATGGAGCTCTACGCCGCCTTCCGGCTCGATTCCGACGACCCGGCCGTGCGGGGGCTCAACCGCCGCGGGAACGAGTCCTACAGCCGGGAGGCCTTTGACGAGATCCAGACCAGGTGCGCCGCGAGGGGCGTCACTGTCGTGCCCGAGATCGAGGCCCCGGGGCACGCGCTCGTCATCTCGCAGTGGAAGCCCGAGATCGGCATGTCTTCCGACTACAGCCTACTCAACATATCGCACCCGGACACCATCCCGACCGTCAAGACCATCTGGCGCGCGTTCCTGCCCTGGTTCCAGAGCAAGGTGGTGTCCATCGGCGCGGACGAGTATAGAGACGAGACGTTGTCTCCTGCGTAAGTGGACGAAGCCTCGTATCGCGTGTGAGCGTTTGCTGAATTCAGTCGTAGAGCCCTCGCTGAGGAGTATACTCGGTTTGCCGACGAGTTGAACGACTTTATCGTCAGCGAGTCGGGAAAGAAGGTCAGGCTATGGGGCACTTTTGGCCCAGCCGTAGCTGGTAAATGTTAGTTGAACCGTCTATCTGAGGCCTGAGCGTTGCTAACGGTCAACTATTGCCTGTTTGACAAGTCAACACGTCTGTCTCGGTGCAGCATTGGGCTCCCTGGGAGGGAAACCCTGTCTTCGACTGGATAAAGAACGGATACGGCGTTATGAACTCGGGCGACCGAGTATACATAGTCGGCAAATGGTCCCAGTCGTATCCCCAAGAGCTCAACCAGGAGTTCATCTTCCACGGATCGCCGGATGGCAGTGCTTTCGCGCCCAACATTTTCGATCCGAACAACGCGACCAACAACTCGCCACGGGACGAGTCCAAGATCGAGGGCCACATAGCACCCCTGTGGAACGATTATGGACCGAACGCCACCACGGTCCTGGAGGCGTACTGGTCCTGGAGGGACGGCCTCCCGGCGCTGGCGGACAAGCAGTGGGGTGGCGCACTGACAGAGACCGAGTACCCGGCCCTGTTCGCGAAGCTGCAGCCTCTCGTGCCGGACCAGAACCTCGAGCGCAGGGTCCCGTCCAAGGGGCAGACCATCCTGCAGTACGACTTCGCCACGGGGCAGGGCTACGGGGGCGAAATCAAGGACACGTCCGGCAACGACTACCACGCGGCCACGACGTGCGCGAGCACCGAAGAGGGCGTCGTCCTGACGCCGTCGTGCAGCGTCAGGACGCCACTTTCCTCCAAGGGGCGCAACTACACGCTCTCCTTCTCAGTCAAGCCGGCGTCGGGCGCCAAGGGGCCCGTTTTCACCGGCCGCGACAGCGCGCTTTGGTCCGGCAACGGCACCGTCGATGCCGTCATGCTCTTCTCGGGCGGGAACGTGTACGCGCTCAACTACACCTTCCCCGTCGGGCAGTGGACAAACGCCAGCCTGGTCGGCAAGGGCACGCGCACGTATCTGCAGGTCGAGGGCGAGGGCGCGGCGGCGTCGCCCATGGAGTTTTTGACCATTATCGGCTGGAACGGCGAGCGCTTTGTGTGGGAGCGCATGGCCGTCGAGGCGCCGTTGCAGACCATTGGCGGCGGCGGATTTGAGGGCATTATTGGGAGCATGAAGCTGGCGGATGGGGCATAAAAGGGTGGGGGAGATATAGCAGGTGGTAGTAAACAACCGTATTGTTGTCTGACATTTTGTCGAATTCTAAAGATCGCTCGTGTTACCCAAGAGCCGATTGACGAAAAGAGGCATGTGCCGTCGGGATCAGATCAGGGGAGAATTAATTCAGCACTGAGGTAGAGCATTGACTGAGGGGCGACCAAGCTTCGAACTCCTCTGCGCCGCCAATTAGGAGTGGTCAGACTGTGGTGGGGTATCGGCGCAAGCAGCACAAGCAGCAAAGGCCCGCGCAGTGGCCCAGCCACCCGAAAGCTTGGACCACCCGCGAGCAGGCAAGATTTGTGCGGGAGGGAGCCGCTTTCATCATTCTCTTGCTCTGCTTGCTCAGTTGCTCAGGCCAACTTCGCCCAAACCACCCCTAGCGCCGCCCTCAGTCGAGGACAGATATTTCCCCACCCTCTACGGTCCATACTTGCGATCCCATTATCGAGTCCCGCGTCGGGCTGCCGAGACCTGCTCCCGCTGTGCATCATTAGACGACCGGCTTTAATCCCTCCCCTCCCGCCGAGGCCCAGACGGCTGCCACCGCGCCACCTCCTCCGATCCCACCTTTGGACGTCCTCGGAACCACCGGCGGGCGATATCCAGTCTTGTTCTGAACCGTCAGAGTCTTGTCGCGACCGTCTGCAGCTCTCGGATCAAGCTTCTATACAAGAGTCGTCACCATGTCCGGGGAAGCGTGGTTGTATTTGTTTGCGGTGTTGGTGAATGCCGTAAACCTGTTCCTGCAGGTCTTCTTCACCATCATGTACAGCGACCTGGAATGGTATGTTTCCCCCACTGGCGCGGGCTGCCCTTGACCCCAAGCCCACGCCGCCCATCTGTTTGCGGCAAGCAAATATCGCGCACTGGCCAGTCGCCCTGGCGAGGGGTCGTCAACACATCAGCTGCTAACCACGATTCGTCCCGCAGCGACTACATCAACCCGATCGACCTCTGCAACCGCCTTAACACCTACATCGTCCCCGAGGCCGCTGTGCATGGATTCTTGACGTTTATATTCCTTATCAACGGATACTGGCTGCCTCTTGTCCTGAACGTGCCGCTCCTGGCGTGGAACATCAAGAAGTGCGTCCCACATCCCCTAGCCGTGCCCCGCGCCGCCATGACCCAAAGCGAAGCTTGATCCACTGACACCTCGATAGGATTGTGGACAACACCCACTTGTTGGATGCCACCGAGATCTTCCGCAAGCTCAACGTCCATAAAAAGGTACGGTTGGCCTCGACAGGGGGGGTGTGCGCCTCGTTGGTGCTCTGATTGCTAACCCTTTCGTATAGGAGTCGTTTATCAAGCTCGGCTTCCACCTAATCATGTTCTTCTTCTACCTCTACAGCATGATTGTGGCTCTGATCAAGGACGAGTCTCATTAAAGGGGGTTAGTTTTGCATGTGGATATGCCTACTCCCCAAGTGGAATTTGGCGATCCTGCATCACTCCTTGGCATAGCCTGCGCAGGAATACGGGCGCATGGTCATGCGGACAGGCTTCCGGGTGCGGTCGGGTCACTTGTCCGAGATGTCGCATCGCCTACTATGCATGCCAGTCCCGCGGAGCAAGGGGATGGCGGCAGTGGAGAAGACAGCGCGAGGCGCACAGGCGCAGGCCGCTGCGCTGCTACGACCGTTCATGAACCTGGCTGGGTGGGATTATCGAGTTACGGCGGGTGGGAGTTGGGGGAAAGGGGCGCTCGTTACGGATATACCTCGCACTGCGATTGTGTTTTGGGTCTCATGTTGTCTCTGGCAGTGTCCAAGTGTCGGAGAAATATTTATTTACTTGGCGACGAAGTGCATACCTAGATGTAATACCTACTATCCGAGACGGGCCGACTGGGCCGCCGTTTGTATCAAAACCGCTGTTGGAATAGCTGGCTGGCAGAGGAGACTGGAGACTGAGTGGGCGCACGTGACAAGCCACGATATGAACACGCAGCGCATCATCATGGATGGAAGTTAAAGTGATGCGACCGTGCGTCACACGCGAAAATGGGTGGGGCGGCGACGGCTCCGCTAACCTAAAATATACGTACACCCAATGCCGGCGTTGAAGCTGCAGCGCGCGCCTGGTTTTGGCGTCCATTTTGAGCAACGAGCAACTGCGACAGCCCGGCCCAAAAGACACCCGCAAGAGCAACCAAAGCAGCCAGATCTTGTCCCCAGACCTGCCCTCCAGAGCGCAGACTCAGCAGCGAGATCAGAAACAGGATACGTCCTTGGAGCAACCAGCCCGCCCAACTCCACCATGTCTGGGTTCAGCGAGTACGCACCAAACATGGTGCCGACCGACGCCCTCGTGCTCAGGACCGAGGCGGAGCCGGCGCACGAGCTGGTGCAGTACACGGGCGAGGACCTCGCGCGCCCGAGGCTCGGCCCCGCGAACCCGTTCCGCGACGACTCGGCGCCGCTCAAGCGCAAGAACGTGCTCACGGGCTACGCGCAGGAGACCTTTGTGTCGGAGCACACGTTCCGCAGCAAGCACCGGGCCGTCGAGCGGCGCGGCGGGCCCGAGCGCGAGTTCCAGTCGGGCGCCGACGTCAAGGCCGAGGCCGCCAAGCTGCGCAGGACGCGCGAAGGCAAGGGCAGCGCGCTCGTGGCCGAGGGCGACGGCGAGTACATGGGGCCCTGGGCCGCCTACAAGCCCAAGCAGGGGCAGGAGGTCGACGTCGACGACCACGAGCTGGCGAGCGACGAGGAGTACGAGGTCGTCGAGGTCGAGGAGAGCGACGACGACGTGATCGAGAGCGGCACCGTCGTCAAGGCCCCCGCCGAGGCCCTGTCGCGGCGGAAGGAGGTCGAGGACCAGGGAGCCGAGACCACAACATTTCACGGCTCCGAGCTGCACGACTACCAAGGGAGAACATATATGCATGTGAGTACTTGCTGCCTTATTTACTTTACTATGCAGGCGTTCTGGGTGCTGACCTCCCCTCTCTATAGGTTCCCCAAGACCTCGACATCGACCTGCGCAAGGAGCCAGGCGGCACAACGAATTTCATCCCCAAGAAGCTGGTCCACACGTGGAAACACCACACCAAGGCCATCACCTCGCTCAACTTCTTCCCCGGGTCTGGGCATCTTCTTCTCTCTGGCAGCGCGGATTCTACCGTCAAGATATGGGATGTTTACCACTCGCGGGAGCTGCTGCGCACATATTCTGGCCACACCAAATCGCTCTCGGATGTCACATTCAACACACATGGAGAGAAATTCCTGACGGCGTCGTTTGACCGCATGATGAAGCTGTGGGACACCGAGACTGGCCAGTGTATCTCCAAGTTCACAACGGGCAAGACGCCGCACGTCATCCGCTTCAACCCGACGGCGGAGCTCGGGCACGAGTTCGTGGTCGGCATGTCGGACAACAAGATTGTGCAGTTCGACACGCGGGCGGGCAACGAGCCGGTGCAGGAGTACGACCACCACTTGGGCCCGGTCAACACCATCACCTTTGTGGACGACGGTCGTCGGTTCATGACGACGTCGGACGACCGGACGCTGCGTGCGTGGGAGTACGGCTTCGGCGTGCCCATCAAGTACATCGCCGAGCCGTACCTGTTCGCCATGACGCGGTCGGCCACGCACCCGTCGGGCAAGTACGTGGCCTTCCAGAGCTCCGACAACCAGATCACCGTCTACTCGAGCAACGACAAGTTCCGCCAGAACCGCAAGAAGAGCTATCGCGGTCACAACAACGCCGGCAGCGCCATCGACATCGACATCAGCCCCGACGGCCAGTTCCTCGCCAGCGGCGACACGGGGGGCTACATTGTCTTTTGGGACTGGAAGGGCTGCAAGATGTACCACAAGATCCAGGCCGAGACGGGCTCGGTGAGCTGCGTCAAGTGGCATCCCCAGGAAACCAGCAAGGTTGTCTCTGGTGGCGCGTCGGGAGATATCAAGTTCTGGGATTAGAAGAGTTTGGCAGCTGGTACTTGTCCTTTTTTGTTTTGCCCTTGAGGTTTGTTTTGGATGTTAGCGTTTGGCGTTCAGATCGGAATTTTATCACCTGGGCCTCTTGGACGGCACCATATTCCCACCATTTGCTGTTTCAACTCTTGAGCCTCGCCACCCCTGCTAGCCTACTTCCTCAACGTCCTCTTGGACTGGCCTTTTCAGCTTTTATAATTTGCAGCCTAGCCGTCCTGCAATCACGCACGGAGCACGGTAGCGAAGCCTACTTGGACATGCGCTCGGAGACAGCTCGGCCGACGTGCCAGCAATCACTCAATCGCCTTGTGACGACCGCGATGGGCCTTTTGAGGGCACTCGCCCACAGATGGCAGCTCCGAGATCAGAGGAGACGGACAATAACGACAATATATGGGTTCCAGGGCTCTCTCCCACCCTTCCACAACTCACATGTCGCTCTTTCTGTCGTCTCGTCCGTCCGTTCTGCGCCATGTCCGCCAACATGGAGCTGCGGCCGATTCGCTAGTGCAGTTCGCTGCTTCAAGACCAGATGCCGGCGGCGCCGGGCGCGGGCGATCAGCCCCAACTGCCATGCGCCTGTCTAACCAGGATCCATGGCGTCCCGGGCCTCGCCTCCCTCCCCAGGGCCGTGCCATGCATGGGCTACCGTCTAGTAGTCTACCGATGCGCTCGTTGCCTGGGGTTGGCCCTAGTCTTGGGCCCTGCTTCCGCGAACAGTTATCTGGACATGAAGGCCCCTCCTCCATCCACCACCCGCTATTGGCAAACCGCCCCTACGCTATTGACAATGGGGGACACATCCACGACTTGTTGTGCTGCTCGCGGCCGCCCTCGGCCTCGTGCAGCCGACGACGCGAGGACACCGTCTCGAAGACCGCAGCCCCTCCCGGCCGCCGCCGCCAGCCGAGGGGCCCGGCAGCGACACGACGACGACGACGACCAGGTTCGGCGCCACGGGCCTGCCCGGGTGGCTCGTTGCCCCGTCCCCGTCCGCGTCTGGCCGCCTCGACAGGCGGGCGCTCGCGTGCACCAATGGGGCCAACTACTACTTCAAGGACCCGACGCAGGCCTGCCCGCAGTGCGGCGCCTGCTGCGCCAACGGAAAGTGCGCGGCCAACTTTGGGAGCTGCTGCCCGGACGACTCGTCCACCATCTGTGCCTACGGCTACATGTGCTGCGCCGGCGCGTCGTCGCCGCCGTCGGGCGGCCCGTCAAAGTGCTGCTACGCCGACACGTCCTTTTGCTGCCCCACAGCCGACTCGGGCTGCTGCATGAACGACCAGATGTGCGGGACGAACGGGTGCGAGGGGACCGCGTGAGTCTCTCTGGTGCACTCCTACGGATGGGGAGGGCGCCCTCAAAGCATATAAGAATGGTGCTGACGTGAACCTCATTGCTGCCGGAAAACAGCTCGTTCGTCGTGCAGAGCGCCACGACAACGACCACGCTGTACACGACCAACTACACGGCCACCATCACCACCACCTCCACCGCGTTCAGCACCTTTTTGCAGACGTCCATGCAGCTCCTGACCACCAACGTGACTAGCGGCGGCGTGGCAACCGCAACGTCGACAGTTTATGTCAAGTCCACGAGGTACATCAAACGTGACGTTCCTGAGCTCGCTGCCCCATCGGCTGCACCCGCCGTCGCCCGAGATGGCGGCGGAGCACCCGCGAGGCCAGAGCCGTCGGCACCGCCGCCGCCCCTGACCGCCGCCCCGGCATCCCCCGCATCTGCAGCCATCCACGACGGGCTGGCGGCCATGGGGCTGGTGCGGAAGCGCACCGTCACCTCGGTCGTGTACACCTACTCGTTCGTGTGGGTCGGCGTCCCCGGCGCCACGACCGTCACCAAGCTCGTGGTCCTGCCGGTGACAAGCCTCGTCAACTCGACGTCGACGGTCACAAACACCATCATCTCCGACGCCAGCGTCGCCGTCACCGTCACCTCCACCATCACCGTCGACACCCTGGCCGCCGCCACCGTGTCGGCCGTCCTCGAATTACCCTCACGGCCACCGCGGCGTCCTTGGACCGGATCAGGGCTCCCGACCCGACCGCGACCACCAACGGGACCATCCCGGCTGTGGGGGCCGGCGCGGCGGCGACGGGTGCCCCGGGCGGCGACGGGTTCGACAGCGCTTCGCAGGGGACCAGCCCGACCGCGGCCGATAGTGGACCCGGCAGCAGCAGCGGCGTGAAGGGGAACGGGACGACGGAAAGCGCGCACCCAGCTGCGCCGCCGCCGCCGCCGCCGGGGCTCGGCGCAGCGGCCAAGGCATGGCAAGTCGAGCAACCGAGACCGATGCGTGGAGCCCTGCGTGCCATGTGACTAGCACTTATTTTTTCCCCTAACCGTAGGATCGGCGCCGGCGCGGCCGTGGCCGGGCTGGCCTTCCTGGGCCTCGCCCTGATCCTCATCCGGCGGCACCGCGCCAACAACAGCCGCTACAGCAGCACCCCGGCCGCCGCGGCGCTGGTCATCGGAAGCCCCAAGCTGATCCCGAACGGGAGGCGGGCCCGCCCTACGGCACCGGCAGCTCCACGGCCAAGAACGGCGGCAGCTGGATGCTACCAGTACGGCTCCCGCCGCCGCCGCCGCTCCCTCCCCCTGTCCCGCCGCGACACCCAGCCAACACCCCGGGAGGTTTCCCGGCGTGGCTGACCGAGGCGGCCGCGAGCAGGTCCGCCATCTCGCTCGGCGGGCTGGCCCGGCACGTCTCCAACGCCGGCGGCGGTCCGCGGCAGTCGTCGGCCGTCTACTCCGTTTCCGACTACGGCGATGGTGTCGGCGGTGTCGGTGTCGGCGTCGGCCCATACGACCCCGCCATGGCGCCGCAGCCGCTGGCCGGGCCGCCGCTGGTGGACGTGGGGCCGAGGAGGTGGACGGTCGAGATGGACTCGTCGGCCGAGTCGCTCGGCGCAGCCAGCTCCGAGCGCACCTTTGGCGCCGGCCCCGTATACGACCCGGCCCGCTACATGGAGGCGGCGGTTCCGGCGGCTGCGGCGGGGAGTGAGACGGGCTGCTCGCGGGAGCTGCGCGAGGCGCCGGGGCAGGCGAGGCCACTGCTTGGGTCGTATGGGAGGTGATTGAGTGGTGGGCGGGATGGGCGGTATAGGGAAATTGAAACCTTGGCTCCAAAAGTTGGGGGTTGCTTTGTTTTTGCGAAGGGTTGTTGGTGCGCGTCTGTGCGATATCTTGCCGTTTGCACTTTCCTTGTACCTATAGTCGGACTCTACTGGTTTTTTTATCCGTAGCAAACCCCAAACATCTAACTGATACTATATGTATCCCTAGAATTGTCGCTTCATCGTCACTTCAGGTTGCTCCTCACCAAGGTGCAACAAGGTCAGCGAGTTTGCACACTTAGCCATCTAATCAAACCACCGGGAGCTGCATTGACCAGCCCTTCACAATCCATGGATTCTTTCGCCGCTGGTTTTATCCTACCTTCGTAGCCTCCCGGCAAGTCCCCCATCCCCGTTCCCGCCACTCGCGGCCGAGCCAAAACCATTTGCCTGCCTGGCCAATATCACATCACGTTCCTGCCCGCACGTCCGGCCCCAGGGCGAGGTCTACAGCTCCGCTTCTGGATGCGTAACATCTGCGCGCCCATGACGGCTTCAAGCGGGGAGGCCGGCTAGGGTGGGCCCGGCATGGCGCGTATGACGGCCATGTAGGAGTATGGCTCAGGCCCGACGACCACCAGGCCACTTTTCACAGTAGCCAGACTCGACAAGCGAACAAAGTCAAAGAAGAGCTTTATGTAGCTTGGCCCGTGTGCCGGGCCTTGACGGCAGTCTCGATTGAGAAGGCGCTTTGCAAAAAAAACGTTCATCGTATCAACCAACGCCAAGCACCGTGGTGATTCCTTGATATTGCAAATTCCGCAAAGGATATAATAAATACTAAAAAGAAAAAAAAAGGCAAAAACCTCACTCGGCTGTCGTGAAACAGCGTCGTTACGAAAACCCGCACTGGCTGGATTTTGCTGGCTCTAAAATCGCCGTCACTAGACGGATTCGAATCAGCGAGCTTGGGGTTTCCTGGCCCTCACCCGTGGAAGACGGTTGTGACTTTGCGCCACGGTTTTCACCCGCTCGACCACCCGGTTTGCTGCTGTGAGCTGTTGGAAACCAGACAGCCAGCCGTGCATATAAGGCGCAATGGGCAGCAGAGGATCGTTCAGGTTTGATATTGGTAATTTTGCGGATGGTGGGTATCGCTTGGTAAAGAAAGGAAAAAAAAAACAGTCTATAAACTTTTCATCTCGCCAATCAGAGAGCCCTCCCCCAAACTTATGAGCGCTCGTCGATGCTGCCAACGGTGTATCCCCTTGCAACACCGCTCCTTCCCTCCTCCACCGCCGCACTCCGCTCCTCCGTGTCAAAGTCGCTCCCGAGGCCGGTCCAGGTCCTCTGCGAGCGCAGGAACTCGGCCCCCGGGCTGACCACGCCGTTGATGGTCGCGACCTCGGCCTTTGGCCGCAGCGCCAGCGCGCTCGATCCCGTGCCGTCCGGTTTGTCCCCCGCGCCGGCGTCCGCCTGCCGGCCGCCTTTCGGTGCAGCCCGCATCGGCCGGCTGCGACTGACGAGCTTTCCTGTCCGCAGGTCGAACTCGGGAGGTGCCGATTCATCGTCGTCGTCATCGCCGTCGACATCGTCGTTGATGTCTGCCTCGGCAGATTCGTCGTTTCGTGACGGCTCGACTGCTGCTTCCCTCGCATCGGGCTCCTTGACGCCCTCGATTCCGCCCCACCAGCGCTCGCCCCATATCCTCTCGTCGTCCTTCATCAGGGCGACCTCCAGCTCGAACGGGGTGATGGCGGCCCTGTAGAAGGAGGCGTCGTCCTCGACCAGGCTGCTCTCCCAGCACCCGACCACCACCCAGCCGTCGATCTCGGCAAAGTTGGCCAGCTTGGCGGGGTTCAGCTTCCCGACCACGACGGTGTAGCTCTTCTTGCCGGCCGCGGCGATGCGCTTCCGGATGGCGTCCAGCGATGACATGTAGTTTGCGACCGAGAGCGTGTTGACCAGGATGCCGATGATGCCCGCCGTCGACAGCGTCAGGAGCTTGGCGTACCGCCGCCCGAGCAGCCGGCGGGTGAACTGGGCGACCGAGGATGCGTCGGACAGGTGTGAGGATGAGGAGTCGGCCGGCGCTGGCGTCGGGAAGATGCGCAGAGACTTTACCCGCGTAGACAGGGCGAGGAGCAACGAGGTTGGGGGTGAGGATATGTGGAAAATATCGTGCTGGCCGAGGTCGACCCCTGACGACCCCTCGCAGTCGAGAGCGGTGCCGTCGGCGTCCAGAACCGTCCTGTTTGGGAGCTTCCCTGTGGAATTGCGGACGACCGACGTCGACAGGGCGTTTACGTAGCCGCGCTCCTTCAGGCGGAGGAACAGAGATGACAGGTGGTCCTGATATGTCACGTCGGCCATCAGAACGACCCTGCTCTCCTTTTCAGGGAACTCCTTCTCAAAGGCTTCCAAGACGGCGTCGTGGCCCAGGCGGTGCTTGGTGAAGACGTGTATGACGGGTAGCCTAGAAGTCGGAGACAGACACGAGCGGCCGTAGTGCACAACCACGTCGGCATCGACATGCTCGGCCGCGACCTCGTCGACGCAGCAGGCGCTGTACGACGTGTCTGCCAAGATGTATATCCTCTCCTCTTCCTGAGCCGTCGCCTGTGGCGCAGCCGGTGCGCAGCCTGCAGCGGTAGTAGGGGCAGAGCTGGCTCCTTGGCTTAGAGCAGCCTCGGCCGGAGGAGTGGCGTTGGAGCGCAAGACAGCCAGCGCGTCCTTGAGGAGGGCAACGACCGCGGGGGCGTCGCAGAGCATGTGGTCGGGGAACTGGAGGGCGACGCGGCGGCGGCGGCCATTGTAGATCTCGCGGGCGGTCCGCTCAACCTCGTAGACTGCCGAGAGGTCCTCGGCCGTCGCGCGCTCCTCCTGGCCTGTGTCCTTGGGTGCGGCATCGTCGACGTGCTCGAAGAGGTGCTCGGCCGAGGTCGAAAGCGCCGGGGGCGCCGTCAGCTGGTCAACCATGGGTGGGATACTAGTTGGTCCTTGCGACGAACTCGAGTTATCAATTCATCCCCCTGAAATCCAAACCTTCTTCTGCGACTTGAAATTTGTGAACAGGCAAGCTACGCACGCACAGTGGGGTGCTGAAATGCGCGCCAGTGAAAATCGCCGATGCTATGCGGGGTAGCTTCTGTCGTCGCCTGACGTAATGGTGCCCCGTCAATGCCTCCTTTGTTAGTCCAAAGTGGGCTGTCGAAGAAACAAAGGCTTCACAAGAGCTTGGACGAGTGTTCCGAGGTGTGAATGTTACAACACCCTATGCACTGCCGTGCTATAGTCACTTTTTTCCGAGCCCTCGATCGCGCCACGCCTCGCGGCAGTTCTCGAAAGTATCGCAATGCCTGCCATTGGGAGTCACACAGGCACAAGTATTCAACATGATTATGATTAAGAAAAAATATAAAGAAAACCAGAGATGCTTCTTTATATACAGGCAATGGTCGCATGATATAGTACAATCGGATATCGCGTAAAACTCGCTGATAGCCAAACCAGAACACCCAAAAAAATGCTTGATCAACACCAACTTTTTAGTCAAACAGGAAAGCAAAAACCTTTCCGTACCAGGTGGTGGGCGTCTCGTCGGGCCACTCTATGCCGTCGAGGTCCTTGCGGCCGGTGAGCAGGTCGGCGTCGTGGGGCTTGACAAAGGGCGTGCGCGTCCAGAGCTTGTGGCCGACGTAGAGGACGGCGAAGAGGATGAGGCTGATGTAGGCGACGAAAAAGGCGGACGTGTTCCAGGGCATGAAGGAGGTGAAGCCCTGGGTCAGGATGATGATCATGTTGAAGACGACGCCGTACCACGAGAACCAGACGCCCATCGGGGACTTGTACGGCAGGCTGTCGTGGGAGATGCCCTGGGCCTCGAGGGCGCGCACGAAGGCGATGTGCGAGACGCCGATAGACGTCCACGAGATGAAGCCAGCTACGCCCGAGATCTGGATGCATGCGATATGGGTATTAGTTTTTTTCTCTGCTGCGTGGTTGCGTAGACTTCAGAGGGTGGCAACTCACGTTCATCAGCCACTCAAACACCTTCTTGGCCGACTCGGTCGTGTTCATGAAGCCCAGGAGGCCAAAGACGGCGGTGCAGCAGACGGCATAGTACGGGACGCCCTTGGTGCTCGTGCGCATCAAGAAGGCGGGGGCCAGGCGCTCCTGGGCGAGACCGACGAGGATGCGCGAGCCCGAGTAGACGTTCGAGTTGGCGGCGCTTAGAACGACGGTCAGGAGCACGGCGTTTATGATGTGCGGCAGCACCTGCACACCGGCGAGGTCGGCGGCGATGACGAAGGGGGAGGCGGTGGCGTCTGAGCTGCCATTCTCGTTTGCTAGGAGCTTGTTGTCGTAGGGAACCACTGCCGCGGGAATCTTGTTAGTTTCTGGGCTCTACCGCCCGTGTTTATCCATGAGACGAAAGGAAGATGAAAGCTTACAAAGGCCGATGAAGAAGACGGTAAGAACAAAGAAGATGAGAATACGCCAAAAGGTCTTGCGGATGGCGGCAGGGACCGTCTTGCGGGGGTTGGCCGTCTCGCCTGCGGCGATGCCGACCAACTCGGTGCCCTGGTACGAGAAACCGGCCTGGATAAGAACAGCCCAGAAGCCAACAAACTTGGCAAGGCTGTCGTTGTCCTCCACGAGGTACGGGGCGAAGGCTCCGGGGCTCTTCCACGTGTTGAAGCCCAGGTAGCCGTGCTGTCCCGCGCCGGCGTCGATGCTAAACGGCAAGGTTAGCCAGAGGTTAAGACCGTTTGAATCCGCATGGATATTTTCTGGGTCTCGCTTACCAGATACCAAACAAAATGAAGCCGACGACGGTGATAACCTTGATCAGAGCCAGCCAGAACTCAACCTCGCCGTAAAAGTTGACGGGTAGGAAGTTGAGGACGGTAATGGCGACCCAAAAGACGGAAACGAAAATGTTCAGGTTGGCCTCGGGGGCCCAGTACTGGATGATAAGGCCGCTGATGGTAACCTCGAGGGCAAAGGTGATGGCCCAAGAGAACCAGTAGATCCAGCCCATAGCAAAGCCCAGGCTCCTGTCGACGAAGCGGCCGGCGTAGACGGTGAAGCCGCCGGATACCGGCAAAAACGTGGCCATCTCGGCGAGGGCGACCATGACGCTGTAGACCAGGGTGCCGACGAAGGCGTAGGCGATCAGGGCGCCGGCCGGGCCGGCCTTGCTGATGGCGCCGCCGGAGCCGATGAAGAGCCCCGTGCCGATGGTGCCGCCGAGGGCGATCATCTGCAGGTGGCGCGACTGCAGGCTGCGCTTGAGCTGAGCCGTCGACCCCTGCTCCATCGACTGCTTCTCGACATCGTGGGCGCCGCCGTCATCGGAGCCCGAGGTCTTGGGCTTGCCGCCGTCGGCCTTGAGCACGGGCACGGCTGCTATGGCGTCATCAGCGCCGCCGTCCTTTAGTAGTGCGCCCATTATTGCTAGAGGGACCCTGGTCAAGCGGCGATTTGTCCTTGAGGCGGGGGAGGGAGGGAAGAAGCACGCGAGGGGGAAGGACGCCGATGAGATGCGGAGGGCGGGGAGCCTGGTTGGCTTATGGAGCAGCAGCACAGGACAACAAATGGAAAGCAGTGCCTCGTCCTTCTAGCTAACTATTAGCAACACAATACCACCTACGCTGGGGCAGCCGTGGGGATTTAAGGGGCACCCGAAGCGCGGCCGACCCCCAGTGGGACCATCATGTTGCCATCGAGTCATCGCCCATCGCAGCGAGAAATTTGCGAAATTTTCTGCTCCGAGCTTGCCTCTTCGCACCCACCGGGCAACCTCCACTACAGATCACCTCCACCCATTGGGAGCAACATAACGCGCGCACCACGCGACATTGTGGACCTTCGGTGAAGCTCCGGACCCAATCCGGCTTGCTCGCCACCAGCACCATGCAGGATTTTTTTCGGCCGGGCTGGAGTTCTTATCTCTGGGGTGATCTATGATCTGCATTCGTGGTGTTGTTTCGGCGTGCCCAACGTTCAACGTTGCAGTGTCGGGCACGCCGTCTGTCACTTGGTGGCGTGCATATTTTCTTTTTTTTCTTCATGGACCAATGTCCGTATTGTGGCCGTGTCTAGTAGTGCTCGCCGTGGGGCCAAGTCGGTTCCCGTCGGGCCAGCCCGGGTCTTTTTCAGCCCCTGGAGGCTTGGCACGGCACAGCCAAGTCAAAACTCCATCCCACGTCGAAGAGGGAGCAGAAGGGGTAGACGACGAGCAAACGACGAGCAACCCGCTCAAAACAATACATGCCATCGGCATTACGCATGCTCCCCCAACCGACAGATTTGGGATCCATCTCGCCAGTGGGGTTCAATCTGTGAATCTGTGTCCTTCCTTCCCCACCCTGACACGGCTATCGTATCCATCACAAATTTCGAGCTCTCGCCACCACCCTCGATCCGACCCCACGTTATGCATAATGCAGTCGACCTTATCTATCTCTCCAGGGAACATGGCTTCGGGGGCCAACCCGAGCAGTTTAGTCCGAGAGCATGCGCCGACTCTGCCTGTCAGCATCAAATCTCCGGTTGTTGTCGTGCTCGCTGTGGGTTCTGGCTGCTTGCTCGGATCTAGAACTTTATTCGTCCCAATGTCGCCATTCCGGGCGTGCTTGACGACCCGAGATACACAGTAGATTGTCTAGAGCGAAGAGCCAAGATAACCATGCCCGTTTGCTCCCGCTCCAACGGCCGAACAAATCCATGGGATATCAATCCATGCAAAATTCCAATCGCAAAGGCAAACGCTCAAACAGTCGACCGCTGGCCCGCCGTGCCGACCCCTCATCCCGAGCTATCGAATAAGGTCAACAAGCCTAACGTGCTTTGGGGCCTCGCCCGGTCCTCGCACAGCCCGGACCCTTGCCTTAAAATTTCGCCTCCCCAGTTCCATCTCTGGAAACAACTGGTAGCCAGCTGGAAGCACAGCAGTTCATTCACAGGCGAGGGTTGCCTTTGGGATCGAGAACCCTCCCGCTCGGACGGGCTCGCATGTGGCCCGACACTTTGACGATAGAACCGTGGGCTCGAATTGACAAGAAAATACACCATCGTCGACGTTTAGATTCGATCCCTTAGGACCATGTAGGAAAAGACACGTCAAGCCAAGATGCCAAAAGACTCTGCCGGGTCGCCATCCTCATTTGTTTCGTTTTAAATGGGATTTCAAGCTTTCCAATCACCGTAAACAAATCACATAATCATCGAATAGCGACTGCCGGCTCCCATGGCCGGAATTATTCTGTAACAAGTCCCCGGGCTTCTGGTACAGGCGCCATCGAGACCTGCTAGTCTCGTGTTCTTTTTATTATACTCTGGCCTCACAGGTCCTTTGGCTGCTCGTTTCCCATTTCATATGACCCCAAATTAAAAACTCGCCCACAATAACCGAAAACGGAAACGCGATGCTGATGAAGACAAATTAGGCTTAACACTGACGCGGCCTGCTGTCCGGTAGTTGTCGGGTTCCAGCGGTATGGCGGTTATTCCTATCCACCTTATCCTCCCGGTCTAGGTCAAGCGGCAGGGCGGGAAGAGCCGCGGACGCGCCGGACTAGACAGAGATCAAGGGTTCAATGCCAGGACCAAAGCATGAGAAACTGCAGACCAGAGGGAGAGCTCGGAGCCGGTCACCAAATGGAAGTCTCCAGGGCACGGACGATGCAAACGAACCCATGTTTTCTTCCTGGCCCATCTGCCGTCTGCCCGGATCTGCCATCTCGCCGCCCTGTTCTTGGCTTCTAGCACAGACTATCCCAGCACTGTCCGCCAAGGGCGCAGTTCCTCTCCTGCACCGCGAAACAAGCATCTGGCCAAGCCATTGTGGCGGCATGGCGTTTACTGCATGACCAAACAAACACTGCTCCCCGCGGCTCGGCTCAATATCGCACCAGAAACTTCATATTATCACTTTATTCTTGTATACATGCTACCTCGAACACATGAGGACGCGCGCCCGTCACTCCCCCCCC